GTGCCAAGCGGAATCTGGGCGAGATCCTCAGCTCCTGCGAGCTGATCGACGAGCGGGCCTTGAACACAGCCCTCCAGCAGTTCAAGTTCCTCAAGTAAAAAGCACTCCATATATATTTTATACATATTATAATCTGTAAAATCCCTTACACAGCTCTCCCATCTCGGGCTTCCCCTTCTACATGCTGATCGAGACCTCGGGCAGCAATGGCGACCACGACGAGGAGAAGATCAACCAGTTCATCGGCGACGGCATGGAGCGCGGCGAAATCCAGGACGGCACCGTCACCGGGGATCCGGGGAAGGTGCAGGAGATCTGGAAGATCCGCGAGATGGTGCCGCTCGGCCTGATCGAGAAGAGCTTCTGCTTCAAGTACGACATCTCGCTGCCGCTGCGCGACTTTTACAACATTGTGGACGTGATGCGGGAGCGATGCGGGCCCTTGGCCACCGTCGTCTGCGGCTATGGCCACCTGGGCGACTCCAATCTGCACCTGAACGTCTCCTGCGAGGAGTTCAACGACGAGATCTACAAGCGCGTCGAGCCCTTCGTCTACGAGTACACGTCGAAGCTGAAGGGCAGCATTAGTGCCGAGCACGGAATCGGGTTCCTCAAGAAGGACTATCTGCACTATTCCAAGGATCCGGTGGCCATTAACTATATGCGCGACATGAAGAAGCTGCTCGATCCCAACGGCATCCTCAATCCCTACAAGGTGCTCAACTGAAGGGGTCCGTTGTCGTCTCATTAATAAGTCTACAGTCTACAGTCTTGTGTTTTTTTTTATTTCCATAAATAAATTGCCTAAAATTAATTAGCAAACTGCATTTCGGGTGTTTAAACTTGTTCTTAAAGATATTAAGATGAAAAAACTTTTTTTAAGAGATAAATCATAGATGAAATTCTAATTGTTCATGGGTTAAACCAAATCGGAAGACTACCTTCCCACGTTTAAGACACGAACTTATAGCATATATTTTATTAAAAACTGTGGAAACCATATATTATTATCATGGTTAAAAATAAGTGTTATTAACGTTTTAAAATAAAATAGTACATATAATTTGCCATCTCAGCAGCGTGTTATATGTAAATCAAAATAGTTGTAATATTTAAACCGGAATAAAACGGGCCCTAATGGGTTAATGATCGGACGAATCGCTCTCTGAAAGCTTCGCGCGGGAGCTTTTCCACAGCTATCGATAGTTGGCATTCTGGCAAAACAAAACCTATCGATCGGCGCTCTCACATATAAATTGTAGGACTGAAAGAATAAGCTCCACATTGCTGAAACAGAGACCGAAACACACGAAACATGAGCGGGTGAGTAAGAGGAAGCGGCCCTTAGTTAATATTTTTGTAATGTCATGTTTTTTTTTGTGATTTTTTTTCTAATATTTTTTGCAGACAAGCGGACATTGCTCTCATCGGCCTGGCCGTCATGGGCCAGAATCTGATACTCAACATGGACGAGAAGGGCTTCAAGGTGTGCGCCTACAACCGCACGGTGGCCAAGGTCAAGGAGTTCCTGGCCAACGAGGCCAAGGGAACCAATGTGATTGGCGCCGACTCCCTGAAGGACATGGTCTCCAAGCTTAAAACGCCCCGCAAGGTCATGCTGCTGGTCAAGGGTGAGTTGTGTTGCCAATTCAGGTTCCAGCAAAAGTAAACCAACAAAAAAAGCCAGCCGCTGTGTTAGTGAGTCAGTTTTACATGTGTGCACGCGTTTGTGAGTGGAAGTCAAAGCAAAGTCATCAAATCAAACGATTTTTTTGTTGTTTTTTTTGCTGTTCATATTGCAATGTGCAAGTGTAAAGGGAAAGGGGAAGAGAGGATAAACAGGTGGAAGAGACGCACGGGAAGAGGAGTAACAACAAAAAACAACTGTTCAGAGATCATCGAGCTCAAAGCTTGGCTTTGCTGTTGTTTTTGTAAAGATACGTTAGAGATGGGATTTTTTTAAACCAATTTGATATATTATTTTTAATTTTTCATAAAAAAAATTATTTGAACCTTTAAAACAGCATGCAAAGTTAAAAGTTAGTCCAATAATACAAACTCAATATTTATGAAAAAAATTTTTTTTTAAGATTAGATTTTCATAGATCGTATTTGATTTATTTTTCTTTTAATCGAGATACGCTCAATTTTTGCCCTTTTTGAACAACTAAACTGCATAATGTAGGCTCTTAAAAACCATTTTCGAATGAGTGGGTTTCCAGGTCACTCACGCGTTCATCTACCCTGCCCGCATGTCACCTCTAGCTCGTACGATAGTCGGCGTGCCCGGCTTATCTGCACCTTCCGATTCCCATTCCTATTCCTACCTAGCTTGTTGTTTGTGCCAAGACAACAATAACAACACACCGGCGCAGAGAGAAATCTTTGACATTCATTATAGGTCACACACAATGGGCGATTTGCAAGGGGATTTCCTCGGATTGGATTGGACTAGCCGAAATCTATGAGTTCTTCTGTTCTGTCCGCATGATCATTTGTCCCGCCGACCTTCCTTGCAAGTTGCCAGGCCAATGATTCATTTCGTCTGCCGATCAGCGTGAGAGCAAACAGTTCGGGTCATAAATATAGCTTCTCGTTTTTTATTTTTTTTTTATTAAATATTTGAAAGTTGCATGACGAGTGGTGGGAACTTTCACAAAATTGAATTGAGAACAAGGGTAATTCGAAAATTCAAAGTAATTATCGTTTAGTAAAATTATCTCACAGTTTGCTTGTCTACTATAGTTATCTATTACAATTATCTAGGCTTAATTAGTGAGTCCTGGTCCTACATTCTTGACCGCTGGTGTGTCCCGCAAACCAACGACCGCTAGATAGATAGATCAATGCTATTATCGCCACGACTCGTTGGCCTTATCTGGTTCCATTGCGCTGGAGAAGTGCTCACCGGCACAAGGGACGCCTCACGGTGACCTCCAAAGCAAAACAGTGACTTTCCAAAAGCAACCCACCGACCTTGTCTAATCGCACGCTCTACTTTCTGGCTAAATCGATGATTTCTTCATGTAAAAAAGAGCTGAGAAGCGCGTGGATTGTTCTATGATTGCTATAAAGACGGTCGATTTTCAAGGGGAAGCATAGAATTAAAAATAAAATGTTACACATTCGGAAAACCTTTCAATTCTAAATCAATTTTGATAAAATCTAAAATTATAGAGCCTTAAAGAACTTTCGAGATCAATTATTTCGGTCTCAACCAAAGTTCATAGAGTCTACAAATGGTAGTACCATAAAGAACTTTCGGGAATGATACACACAAAAAAACGCATGTTCCCGTAAAATCGATATGGCCATGTACATTTCAGGTCATGCAAAACCCATATCATTTTTACATGAAATACCCTTTTTGACCAGGTCAAATTTACTTTGCCACATATCAAATTAAAATTGATATTAAATAATGTAAAAATGATCTACGTTTCATATCGATTTTTTTTGGTGTAGGCTTATATCGCAGCACCAACATATTTTTGTTATTAATTCAAAATAATTTAATAAATTTAAGTAATTTGATAAGAAATTCCATTTGTATAATATCTACAATATGATCTAATCTAGTTCCCAACCATTTCCATTTTTTATTAGAAATTATATTCTATTAACTATATATTCTAATCCCATTCCCATCCATTTCCAGCTGGCAGTGCGGTCGACGACTTCATCCAGCAGCTGGTGCCGCTGCTCTCCGCCGGCGACGTGATCATCGATGGCGGTAACTCCGAGTACCAGGACACATCGCGCCGCTGCGACGAGCTGGCCAAACTGGGCCTGCTGTACGTGGGATCCGGGGTGAGCGGCGGCGAGGAGGGCGCCCGCCACGGACCCTCGCTGATGCCCGGTGGCCACGAGGCCGCCTGGCCCCTCATCCGCCCGATCTTCCAGGCGATCTGCGCCAAGGCTGACGGCGAACCATGCTGCGAGTGGGTGGGCGATGGCGGCGCAGGCCACTTCGTGAAGATGGTGCACAATGGCATCGAGTACGGGGACATGCAGCTGATCTGCGAGGCCTACCACATCATGCAGAGCCTGGGCCTCTCGGCCGACCAAATGGCCGAGGAGTTCGGCAAGTGGAACGCGGCCGAACTGGACTCGTTCCTCATCGAGATCACGCGGGATATTCTCAAGTACAAGGACGGCAAGGGGCATTTGCTGGAGCGGATTCGCGACACCGCCGGCCAGAAGGGCACCGGCAAGTGGACGGCCATTGCGGCGCTGCAGTACGGCGTGCCCGTGACGCTAATCGGCGAGGCGGTCTTCTCGCGCTGCCTGTCGGCGCTCAAGGATGAGCGCGTCCTGGCAAGCGGCTCGCTCAAGGGACCCGCGACCAAGGCCCAGGTGGGCAACCTCACCAAGTTCCTCGACGACATCAAGCACGCCCTGTACTGCGCCAAGATCGTGTCCTATGCCCAGGGATTCATGCTGATGCGCGAGGCGGCCAGCGAGAATAAGTGGAGGCTCAACTACGGCGGCATTGCGCTGATGTGGCGCGGTGGCTGCATCATCCGCAGCGTCTTCCTGGGCAACATCAAGGATGCGTACACGAAGCAGCCGCAGCTGTCCAATCTGCTGCTCGACGACTTCTTCAAGAAGGCCATTGAACGCGGCCAGGACTCGTGGCGCGAGGTGGTGGCCAATGCCTTCCGCTGGGGCATCCCCGTGCCCGCCCTGTCCACCGCGTTGAGCTTCTACGATGGCTATCGCACCGCCAAGCTGCCCGCCAACTTGCTGCAGGCCCAGCGGGATTACTTTGGAGCCCACACCTACGAGCTGCTCGGCCAGGAGGGCCAGTTCCATCACACCAACTGGACGGGCACCGGCGGCAATGTGTCCGCCAGCACCTACCAGGCGTAGGATCCTCCTCCAGCTTCACTTTCCCGCTCACACATTCCACATGTCATTGGCGACCGGTGTCTTTAGATGTTCCCCCACTCTTTTTTTTTCCCCCTGGAGTACCCTAGTACTTATTTATACCATTAATATATATGTATGTATATATAATTTCATATTTCTTGTTTAACATAACATTAAATTGGTGTTTTTTTTTGCTAGCAAATGATTTCGGTTCCTTGGTTCGATGGATGCAAAGTGCCGGTATAAAATCAACAATGTGTGTGGTTGGTGTGGTTGTGTGTCGAGTCTTTCGAGTTGTGTCCTCATGTAGAGACGCCTCCTGCTCCTCCTCCTCCTCCTTTTCCTCCTCCTCCTGCTATTGTACTCTCTTCAGCTACCTTCAGCCCTTCCGATCCTCAGTCATCCGAGGGCTTCAGAGTCTTCTTGTTCTCTATGACCAGCTTTTCGGTGCTGTACAAATGCCCGATGATCACCTGTGGACACTCAAAGGTTAATAAACTCGTTCAACTGATAAGAAAAAGGGGGAAAACTAATGGCTTTCGCTTTCTAACTTGGCTTCCTTATTTATCGTGTGGAAAAACATATTGTACAGAGCTAAAACTAAGATCAAAGGTCAATTTATTAGGGCTTCCATCATAAGATTTGATTGATTGATGAAATTTGATAAGAAATATTGAAATTAAATATAACACATTACTTTTGGTTCTAGATAATCTATGTGTTTTTAAAGTTTATGATAAATATGAGTAATATGATCCAGAAACATCAATGGGTTTATTATTATTTTACTATGATAAGAGGATAGTATAGTTTGTTATTTAAGTTTTTAGTCATCTTCAAGTAAATAAATATTCCCTATAATATAGGAGCCCTCGAACTACCCAAGTACTTCAGAGAGTAAACATCTAGATACTTCCCAGAGTATTGCTGATAAGGAGAACTCACCTGGCGACGTATCAGCTCCAGATTCTGCTGTCCCTCGACCATTTGCCGGTCGATCTCCCCGAAATCCCGGATGCCCCTGTTGGCACGGAATGTGTCGCGTATTTTGCGGGCAGCGTACATCCTGAAAAGCAGATAAATCATATATGATAACTCTTCGTTTAAAAGTTCTCCTATTTCACCACACCCACCTGAAGTTGTAGGAGGGCAGCTTCTCCGATTCGCGCAGGAGATTCCTGTATAACGTGATCGCCTGGCGACGCGTCGACATCCTGATTCTGATCCTGATCCTAATCCTATCCTGTCCTGGCCAAATGGAACCGAGCAAGCGGAGTGGCTCGAGATGGAGACGGAGATTTGGAGCGCCCTTTAATTGATGAGTGTCAACGCCGGCGTCGTGTTTTGTTTTGACCCTGGTTATTGTTTCCTATTGGATTGGTGGACCGACCGCCTGATGACATAAAAATTACATGTGGGAAGCGGCAAAATACTCACATCCCCGCCGCAAAAATACCAAAAACAGCTGACGGCGGTATTTTCCCAGTCACGTGCGTGAGTTCTAGAGATGGACCTATCGAACTGGTTGCAACTAATTGTAAATGGGCTGAAATATGTGTGTGACTATTATAAAGACTCTATTATAAAGACTGTACAGACTTATTTGTATTGTATATATTAATTTTAATCATATATTTACCAAAAAAATCCGTATTTTGGACAGAACAATGGAAATAACAATCCAAATATGAAATGTCATACCTCGTTGAAATCGTAATGAAATTATTACTCAATCTGCATTTAAACCTCGAAAATTCTAATTTTTTTAATTTTCGAAAAAAAATCGTGATGGTACCCCTTAAAAAAAAAAGGAAAAATTGTGTCAAAAAATTTATTTTCTCAAATCAGTCGGGAAGTTCACTGATATTAAATATAAGGTTGTAAGCTGCACAAAACAGTGCCCCTTTTTGTTTTGGGACCATTTTTGTCCAAGTTACAGCAAAAAATCTATAATAAAAAATCAAATTTTTCCAAAAATCAAGGTCCTGATTTTTCAGCCAAAAAAAAGTAGTATTTACTATTAGTATTTTGGTCATAAAAATGGAACTAATAATCCAAATATGGCGTGTCGTACCTTGTTGAACTCGTTATTAAATTCCCAATCAATTGGCATTTCAACCTGGAAATTTTAAATTTTTTCCATTTTTCGCAAAAAATGATGATGGTACCCCTTAAAAAAAAGCGAAAATTTGGTCAAAAATTAATTTTCCCAAATCAGTCGGAAAGCGCACTGATATTAATTATACGGTTGTAAGCTGCACAAAACAGTGCGCCTTTTTGATTTGGGACCATTTTTGCTCAAGTTACATTAAAAAAACTCGAAGAAAAATCATATTTTTCATCAGAACCCCAGATCCTTTTACCAACAAATTTTAAATTGTCCGTTGTCCAAATATTGCTCTCTAAAATAATAAAATCTTTGCATGTTTTTTAATTTTAGTTTTAATTCTGTTTGTTTTTTCTGCAAGAACAATATATTATGTACTCGTTGAAAACACAAAATAAATATATATTTTGTTCCCGAAATTGTTTCTTTCTTGCACGCGCGCTTGCTTTTTAAATCTGATTTTTGTAGCCTAAATATGACATTTTTGTGGTTGTAAACGTACACATATATCCATATATATATATATATATTTATTGATCAGTTTTAGTTTTATAAGTAGAGTTCTTTTTAGCTTAAGTTTAGGCAATAAAATAACTTTATTTTCCTCATCGAATCTAGATTTTTATCCTCAATCTCTCTCTTTCTCTTTACATTTTCTGTCTACCGCTCTCGCTCTTTCTCTTGCAATCTATTTAAGAGCGTTTGTTTTTTAAGTTTACGAATAAAAAAAAGTTTAATATTTAAGGTAAGAATAGGTAAAAAAAAACATTAGAAATAAACCTAAGACGCGTCCGATAAAATCGCTGATTAAACAATATTTACATGGGTGTGTTTTTGTGAGGGTAAGCCGACGTTTAGCTGCTAATATTGCTTATGACTATATAACGTACTCGTATCAGTAGGGGATTTGGATCTTTGTGTTGTTCGGGGTGTCGCTTTCATTTCATCAATCTTTATAATTTTAGTTAAAACGCAGACCATGCTCAAGAATTCGCTATCACTTTGGGTTAATACAAACGCATAAACAGATCAGATCGCATTCTATCCTATCGCTCTTAGCTATCTTAGCTATATACTTCGATATACATACATACATATATATTCTGTATATATACGCGGGGGTACAGCTGACTGAAACTAGGTGCATTACAGACTATACACATACATATAGTGGTTGTTGCTATATCAACATATAAACAAATTACATAATCACAAACAACAGAATTTTATTTTGGTGGCAGGCTTTCGGTGTGGTTAACGACATGGCGATGGCGATGGCGTTGGCAATCCCATTTCGAGTCCGAGTCCGATTATCTGTGGCTGCTGTACGTTTTGTACACCCGCGTCACCCTCGTCGCTGCTCCTCCCGTGGGCGATGTTGATGAGGAAGCAGCTGCAGTTGCGGATGAGCTCGAGGCAGCAGCATGCGACATGTCCGTGGTTCCTACGGCCAAAACCTGCGCCGTCGTCTCCAGATTCAGGGGCAGGATGTTGTCGTGCTCGTCCGAGTGCTCGTAGATGTAGTCGCGCTTCTTGAAGTTGTCGATGATGCGCTTCGTGGACTTCATGTGCGCCACAAAGGCCGCCTCCAACTAATCGGAATGGGAAAGAACAAAAGTTAAAGCTATATATTTAAGATAGAAAGTCAGTGTTAAACTCACGCTGGAGGTCAGGTTCATAAACGTGTGGTATTTCTCCAGCACGCCGATAATCTCCTTGAAGCTGTTCCCTCGCAACTGACGCCGCACCAGCGATTCGTACAGCTCGTTGTCCGCTATCAAATTTCCCACCAGGATGGCCGCATAGCTTCCCTTCAGCGTGTGCTCCATGTGGTGGCCGGCGCGTTGCAGAACTGTTGGGTAAAACCATGGATTAGCATGGATGCCGGATGATTAATCTTTTGAATACTCACGATTGTTGACCGTCTCCTCCACTTCTTCCTGTTTCTTCTTGCCCTTCTCGTTGCTCTCGAGGAAGGCGTCCGTGTTTTTCTCCACCAATCTGCGCAGAAGAAGGGAAAATATATATACCATGCCCAGAAAACTATAAAATGTCTCCTTATCTCACCTGGCCAGTTCCTCGCACTTGTAGAAGTACTCGAGCAGCGCTTGCAGGGCACTAACAGATCCCTGCGCCGGCGGATTGTCCGCAACGTACTCCGCCGGAGCGGCAGCCTGCATCAGCGCAGCCCGATTGGGCAGCGTGTGCATGCACAGGTTGATTAGCAGGGTGAGAACCTAAAAATGGCGAGAATCAACAATAAATAAGAGGAAAATAAAGCATAAACCACAAGGTTAACGCACCAGTATGCTTAGCTCGAAGACACAGTGGTCGGGAATGTAGTTGGCCGAGAGCAGCAGCAGCCGGAAGCTCGTCTCCACCACATCGCCCCGCTGGCCAAGCAGCTCGGCGCCCAGCGAGGGCTGCGCCTCGTTGAACGTGTGCGTCAGGTTGATCAGCACCTTGAGCACGGGGACCAGCAGCTCTCGCATGGCCACGCCCGGGTGCTCCTTGTTGCTGCTGCCCGCACAGTCCACCGAGGGATGCAGCATCAGTTGCCGGCTGCACAGGCGGTACAGCTGGCAGAGGGTCTCCACTGCTTTGCCCTGGCCAAAGGTGAGCATGTAGCGCTGGTTCGCCTCGTTGTGCTGCGTCACATTCTCGAGGACTCGCAGGCATCGCGCCACCGTCTGTATATTGTCCAGCAGCGCCGGCTGCCAGTGGATCTCCGTGTCGCAGGCAATCACCGGTCTGCAGAAATCCGAAATGGTCTTGATGATGTGCTCCAGACCGCCCAGCTTGCGCAGATCCTCCTTGAACCACTCGCCCGCCCGCTTGGATGTCAGCGAGAGCAGCGTCTCCATGGCCAGCGTGCCCACGGTCAGCGAATCCACGTTAAGATGCGTTCCCTTGCCCTGCGCCTTGATCTCCTCGCACAGCTCGCGGACCTTCTGCTTGTTGCGGTCGTAGCCCGCTCGGTCCGGGTGTCCGCTCTCCGTGCTGCCGCCCACGCCGTCCGCCTCCAGGAGGTTGATCATCAGCTCCAGGGAGTCGCGATCCAGGTCCATGTTGAGGCCCTCCTGCGAGAGGATGTACATGATGGCCGAGGTGCACAGGCCCAGGCTGAGGTCCTTGTTGGCATCGGATAAAGCCTGCGATTAAAAGAGATTCAATTGATTATTCCTGGATGATAGGATATATTCGATGTAAATAATCTATGTAATTAATCTAAACTAATATAAAGTTCGACCTCTAAAAAACGGTCAGTAGCAAATTTCACCCAGAACGGATTGACATAAAAATGTAAAAAAATCACATTAATTACTAAAATTATTAGGAGCCGCGTGTGAGATACAAATTATAATAAAAAATGACCCCAAGGGGCCCCAAAATTCGATTTGGTTTTTTTTTTTCTTAAGATATATAATAATAATAAATTAATAAGATGATAAATGATCTATTTAATTAATAAGATATATAATAATAATATTTTAATAAGATGTATAATAAGATATATCCGATTTAAATGATCTATTTAATCCCTTCAAGAAAGCTGCTAAATATTTACTTTAATAGAAGCATTTCTATGAAACTAACAAAGACTTTAATAAAATCAGACTTTACAAAGAAGTGAAAAACAATACCCAACCTGGTACTCTCTATTTATAAAACGTTTCTAGTTTATACAGACATTTAATACTTGATATGCAGGCTTTCAAAACAAAAGTAGCGATTCTGCGGAAAACTTTTGTGTGGAAATCGATGTGGAAATTCGATAGGACTAAATTCAAACCTAAAAATCAACAAACAATTAGTTCCAACAAAGGTTTGGCCTTGGGATTGAATATTTCAAATGAAATACAATAAGTTAACTTAAGAACCCACCTTGAAGAACTTGGTGACCACGCCGTGGGCACGCACGTGCATCCGGAAGGCGGGCATCATGCACTTGGCGGCCAGCTGCAGGGCGGAGAGGCAGCGCGTCGCCGGCGGATTGTGCGGCTGCAGTGCGTCCAGGATGTACTCGACGTCGTCGTCCATCTCCTGATACTCGCCGATCTCCTGGATCTGGTGGGCCGTCTTCACGTTCCGCACCACCGTATAGTAGTCCTTGGTCTTGCGATCGACGCGAATGGGTCCTCCGCCGCCGCTGGCTCCAGTCGTTCCACCGCCGCCAGCTGCTCCACTCGCTGCACCCCCGGAAGCTGCTCCCGCTCCTGCACTTCGCTCCAGGTCAAGTTCGCCCGCAATGGGCTCCAGATCCAGGTCGAAGGCATCGGAACTCGTGGAGGTGGCTGGCACTCCCTGTTTCCCCGCCAGTCGCGAGATCTTCCCCAGCGCCGGACTGTCGCCGCGCAACGTGGACGCACTGCTGCAGGCACTGGAGGAGCCGTTGTTGTTGGACGACGGACTGTCACCGAAATCGCCATCCGACTTGCCCGCCGCCAAATGATGCAGCAGCAAATGATCCTTGGCCCCGGCCACTCCCGCTGCCGAGGCATTGCTGGCATCGCTGCCCGTCCCACCGCCATTCGCCTCCAGCGCGGCATCCCAGCTGTGCTTGTACAGATGCCGCTTGGCCACCGACGCCTGCTCCGCCTGGTCGGATGGCACCAGGGCGCGGCTCTTGAAGATGCTGCCCTTCTTCTTCGAGATGACCAGCTTGACGGCGCTGCGCTGCTCGCCAGGTGGCTCTGTTGGTGCTCCTCCTGTTGCTGCAGCGGCTGCTCCTCCCGCTCCTTGAGAATCCAAGGTAAGCGTTCGCTTGAACTTATCCTTGAACTTGAAGTCGCGCGGCGGGGGCGAGGAGGAGGAGCCGTCGTGCTGCAGCGATGAATTGTTCGAGTTGTTGGACAGCTCGTCGGGATCGGGATCCGGATCGTGGTCCGGCGAGTGCTCCCTGTGCGGCATCTTGGCGGGCGTGGGCTGCTCCTCCTCGGCCTCGGCAGGCTCCTCCTGCTCCTGGCCGACCGCCTGCTCCTGCTGCAGAACCTGCGTCACCTGCTGGTTCTTTCGCTTGCGCCCATAACTACGTGGCGCTCCGCCCGCTGCCCCGCCCTCCACCAGGCGACTGGCCTCCGCTTTGGCCGACAGATTGGCGGCTATCTTGTTGATGTTGTTGTTAACGCTGGCTGAGTTATTGTTGTTGGCCCGGGCGGCGGCCGCATTGCGACCTCTTCTCAGCGGCGGCGAAGCCTGTTCGATGGGTTCCTCAACAGCCGCTTCGTCCACCTCCATGTCCACCTCCTGCTCGGCCTTCTTCGAGCCTCGAGTGCCTCGTGTGCTTCTCTTGGGTGCCGGTGGCGAAATGGTAGCTGCCTCTGCTCCCTTGGCTCTGCCTCTTGTCCTGGTTTCCGTGGCCGGAGGAGCTGCTTCAGCAGCATTGTTATTCGCCTTTCTGCCCCTGCCACGCGTGGCCCTCTTCGGCGGCGGCTGCTGCTGCCCCTCCTCCTCCTCCTCCGCCGCCGCTGCATTGCCATTCAAACGCGGCACTTCTCCGCGCAGCACAGCCAGTATGTCCTCCTGCAGCGGCGTCTCTGGAACCACGGCAGCTGCTCCCGTGGCCGCACCATCGATGGTCATCATCATGGACTCCAAACGCGACTCAATGTCCGAGGGTGGGGCCACCAGCGAGGAGTGCTGGCTGGTCTCCAGATCACTCGTGATCACACTCGATCCCCGGCTGCGGATGACGCAGCTGTCCTCCTGGACGGCCTGCGCCAGCAGCAGCGGCGTGCTGTTGCCCTTGGAGGAGATGCTGCCCAGCACCGAGGACTGCGAGTCGAAGTCGTGGTCGGATCGGGTGGTGGGCGATATCACCGCGGAGCCTCGCTGGGGATGCAGGTGTTGAGATGGCGGATTCTGGGCCTCACTGAAGGCCAGGTGAGGTGAGGGCGTCTTGAACTCGGAATTGGGCTCTATAGGATTACCGACTGCTGCTGCTGCTGCTGCTCCACTGGACTGAATTGGAGCCTGCAGCTGCTTGTGCTTGTGCTTCTTGCTCTTGGACTTCTTCTCACTCCGGGATTCCGCGGCTGCGGCGGCTTTGGCGATGGCGTTGCGGATCACGTCCGTCTTGATGATCAGCTTGAGCCGCTCCTTGGGCGGCTTGTCCGGCGATATCTTCACCGTGCAGTAGTTGATCTCCGGCGGCTCCTCCTCCTCGTCCTCCTCCTCCTCTTCGTCCTCCTCGTCCTCGTTTGCGGGATCGAGGGATTCGCTGGCTGGAGGCGCCGCAGCGGAGGATCCTCCTCCTCCTCCTTCAACCGAATCCTCTGCTGCTCCTGGCGGCGGTTTCAGTGGCTTCACTGTGATTTTTGGCGTACTTGCAGGAACTGTTTCGTCACCCGTCCGTCGGGAAGGCTCCTCCTCCTCCTCCTCCTGGGTGGCCGGAAGTGGGTTCTGCTGGTGAGCGGGCGAGCTGCTCGGCGGCTCCTCGCTGTCCGTGCTGACCAGGCGGGAAGTGCCCTGGAAAATAGTACAGGATTAGCTGACTAGCTGACTAGCTGATCTGGCAAGTGGAAATGGGAAATGGGTCGTTTGCCCCCCGCGTAATTAACACAATCCAACTGAACTCGGCAAGAAGCCACCGATAAGTGTGGAGCGAAGCAAAAAGAAAAGAAGGGAAAAACACCAACAACTTCGCTGAGAGAGAGCGACTCCAATTCCGTTGCTTTGGTTTGCCATGTAAAAGCGCGCGTAATTTAACACTGCTGCGCGCGCTGCGCTGCTTTCCCTTTCCCACACACGGCGGTGAAGGCGGGTGGAGAGGGAGAGGGAGAAAGACTGAGCGCGGAGAGTACGGAGAGAGCGATCGCATTTGGGGTACTCGAGTTGGATAATTTATCGAAAAAGAGAGAGTGGTGAAAATGCAGCTCAAGAGAAATGCAACAAAGTCAGGGGCACTCACTAAAGTGGTGGATATGTTAATTTAAATTGAATTACTTTGGATTATTTTAAATTTAGAAAATATTTACAATAATACTCAAATCCACAGAACATTTTCTGATCTGTAACATTTAATTTCTCCTTTTTAAAAATTCCAAAGGAAACCGTACATTTATATTATTTGAAAATTAAAAAAAAAAAGTTCGAATGGGAATCGAATCATTAGAATAGGTTTAACATAAGATTTATATAGAATAGAATAGATAGAATAGATTTAACATTCCCTCTTAACCAGAGAATAAATAAATAAATAAGATTATATATTTTCTAAATTTTTTACAGATCTTAAGTGAGAAATATGGGTTATTCCTGCCCCGAAGACTCACCTTGGAGATGCGCAGCACGATGGGAGGATGTTCCGGCGTTCGCGAGGCGCTCGGAGGATTAGACGCGCCGCTTGAAGCGCAGGGCAGCTGGGAGGCGGATGCACTGGGCGCTGAAGTGGGCGGGGGTAGCGATGGCTCCGATTCCGGGCTGCCAAACGTGGAACTGATGAAGGCTTCCGACGAGGAGGCAGCGGCGGCGGCGGCGGCGGCAGCAGCTGTTACTGTGGCCGCCACCTCCGCCGGCTGCCGCGTCGCCTTGGGAATGATCAGATCCTTGGTGGGCGTGGGATAGCGCTCGTCCTCGTCCACCTCGCAATAGTTGACAGCCTTGCGGGCGCGACCCAAAACCCGCGAAGGCGGTGCCTCTGGCTTCAGTTTCTTCTCCTCCTTCGGCTTCTTCGGCTGCTTCTGCTTCGGCTCTGGCTGCTCCGAGGCGGGATCGCTCAGCCCATCGCCGTCGCGATCGGAGGCTCCGTAGAACGCACCAGGCGTCGAGGTGGCTTCTGCTGATCCTGCTCCTCCTCCTGGCGTTGCTCCCGCTGCCGCTGCCGCCGCCGCCTTCTTCTTGGGCGACTTGCGCTTCCGCTCTGCGGAATTGCCGCCCTTGCCCGGCTTCGTCTTCGGTCCGCCCGCCTCATAGGTGCCCGAGGTGGGCGTGGCACCACCAGCACCACCGGCCGAGAACTGATCCCGCATGGGCGATGCACCGGAGGCACCGCAATGCGGCAACTGCTGGATTATCTGGGCTATAACCTCCGGCGGGGCGGTGTTCCTCGACTTGAAGAACTTCTTGGGCTTCGGGGGCTCCGGCACCGAAACGGACAGGTCGTTGGGATCGTGATCCTGCGTGGAGGCGGGACTCTGGGAGGGACTGGCGGCCGCTGCTGCCGCCGCCGCTGCCGCGGCCATCGGATGGAGGGCGGACAGGGTGTAGGTGCGGGTGGAGGTGAAGCCCATCTTGCCCCATTTGCCGACGGTGCCCACGGAGCGGGCGACGGTGGGCCGGTTGGTGTTCTCCTTCTCCTTGCAGAGCGAGTCCAGCGGCACCACGATGTTCTTGCCCCAGCGCGACATCTTTTTAGCTCCTTCTCGTATCCGTCGTATCCTCTTGGGTGGCTCTAATCCTTGGTGATCTGGTCACTGCAATGGGGGAATACGTTAGTATGTGATTTAAAGAATTATATTAAATATTATAATATGGAAAACTCAAAATAGTTTCGAATAAATTGATTTAACATACATAAATGTTATTAAAACTGTACTCTTTGGACCGGAAAATGGAAATAGCCGGAGGATTCAAGTTATTACTCCTACTGCAATTGCAAAATACGTTAGTTTATGATTATTAAAATCAGAATTTTTCAAGATGTCATTTTTTATAATATAAAATGGAAAACGAAGATTAAAAGCTAATCTTTGGAAAATGGTAAACACTACAAAACTTTATTATTTTGACCGGGAAATGGAAATATCCCAAAGATATTATATCAGCAGAGTTAAAAAATTCAAGTTATTACTCCTACTGCAATTGGGATGATTAAAATGAGAATTTTCAAGATATCGTATTAAATATTATAAAATGGAAAATTCTACAAATTAATTTCAAAATAGTTTCGAATATATCGATTTTGGACCGGGAAATGTAAATATCCCAAAGATATTATATCAGGACAGTTGGAGGATTCAAGTTATTACTCCTACTGTAATGATTAAAATCAGAATTGTTCAAGGTATCATATATAACATTATAAAATAGAAAAACTCTACAAATCAAGTTCAAAATAGTTTCGAATATATCGATTTAACAAAAGTGTTATTAAAACTGTATTTGTAGGATGCGGAAATAGAAATATCCCAAAGATATTATATCAGGATAGTCAGAGGACTAAACTATACCGTTTTTAAGCCATGTACAGAAGATAAATAGAGAACCCAGTTTCCTGGTCAACTACCAATCCAAAGTTTACCGTTCACTGGAAACGGGAGTTTTCCGCCGCCGCGGTCGAAACTTTCGTAGGACGTGGAGCACAATATACACCGATTCGCAGCATCATTAAGTATTAATTCATGTTTTTGCTCGGCGGACAGTTATTGAATTTTACTAAAAGTGAGCGATTTGTTTGGCTGGGCCAAGAGAGAGAGAGAAGTGCAGCAACAGCAAAACACAACAAACGCGCGGCCGTAAGGAGTCGGTGGGTGCGAGCGAGAGCACACGACAGTGCCCGCACTCGCACACATACTGACGCACCAGCGATTTCCAATTTTCTCACACACGCATCGAAATCAAATCAAGAGCCATGTATTTCCAAAAGGAAAAGCCGATTGCAAACAATTTGTTGCACTGGGCTGTTGCAATTTAAGCCAAGTCCTTGGGAAAACTCACCTCAGGTGAAACATTTGACTGCTCTCTCTGCTTTTCTTGTTATTGTTGTCCTCCGTTTGCTGCGTGGATGCATGTGGGTGTGTGTGAGTGAGTGTGGTCAAAAAAATCTCTGTTGCTGCTGCAGCGCATATGTATGCGACTGCGTGTGTGTGTGTGTGTGTGTGTGTGTAGGGAATGCAAACGATGTTTGCTTTTGCTTATTGGCGCAATTCTTTTTTTTGCACGAGCACGCACTGTATATTTTTTTGCATTCAAGCCATCGTTCCGATCATTTTCCGCCTGGCCGCCAATTTTCGGTTTTTGTTTTGCGCTGCACACACGGCCTTCTTTTGCTTTTGCCACCACTTTTACTTTACTTTACAGCATCATCCCAGAGGCAGCAGCAACAACAACAACAACACGCACCACCAACACAAACAACCACAACAACAGCGACAATTATAGCTGCTACTGAAACTGAACGTTCCGTTCGTTCTTCTTCTTGCTGCGGATATTTCCTTCGATTTCGCGACTTTGTGGCCGTATTTTTCGGCGCCAACTGATTGCGCGACGTTGTGCAATGAGCGGGGCTGCGAACGCGGCGGATTTTGCTGTTTTTTTGCAAGAAAAACTTGATTTTTTTGTGTTAATTTTTAGATGTTAAAACATCTAGTTTTTTTTTTCGATAATATAACATAACATAAAGATGGTAATCGAAATTTTAGGACCTTTTGCTTGTCCGGTATTTATATACTGCCAAAAAATACCACAACCATGACTATCGAATATAGCCAGTGTGACCTTCGCGTGGTAGTTAAAACATACCATGAATAGCGCCTCAGCCCAGACTCAAACCAAACCGTTAAAATTTTCAAAAATGGATTTAAAAATGGCGGGTTTTTGATCTAATAAATTCACTTTATATTATTTACAAGTTCAGTAGACTCGCTCCCGCACCTTGAACATCAGTGGGTCCTTGGTGCGCAGAATGAGCTCGGCAATGAGGACGGGCGGCTGGGAGGTATCGCCCACAAAGTCAACCTCGTAGTGCCGCAAAACATTGGCCGCGATGGCCTTGATCTCCAACATGGCGAACTTCTGGCCAATGCAGTTGCGCGGTCCGGCCGAGAAGGGTATGTAGGCATAGGGATTGAGCTTCTCGGCGGTGGTGACCACATCGAAGCGCTCCGGCTTGAAGCTATTGGGCTCGCTGAAGAGCTCCTCGCGTCTGCCGAGGTAAAGTGGCGAAATGCCGATATTGGTGCCCGCCGGTATCAGTTTTCCATCTAAAATAAAAGGTATTTTATAATATTATTATAAACTCTTATCCCGTTTTTCAGTTCAACCCACTTATCTCGCAATCCTCGAGCACCTTGCGACCCAGCAGCGGCACCGAGGGATACATCCGCAGCGTCTCCTTCACGCACAGATCGACGTAGTGCAGCCGGTTCAGCAGCTCGTAGGTCACTGGAGTGCTCCTGTCCTCGCCCATTACCGATCGGATCTCCTCGAAGCACCGCCTCTGCGCCTCCGGATGCGTGGCTATGTTGTAGAACAGGAACATCAGCGCCGAGGAGGTCGTGTCGTGGCCCTCGAACATGAAGGTGTCGACCTCCTCGCGGATATCCAGATTGCTCAGCGGCCGCTCGTCGATCGTCGACTGCAGCAGGATGTCCAGGAAGGCCATCTTCCGCTTGGCGCCCACATCGGCATCCTCGGTGCTGCCTGTACTGCCTTGATCTCCTCCATTTCCTCCACGGATAATCTCCTCCCTTCGCTGCACAATGATCTTCTCGGTGAACTGGTGCAGCACATCCAGCGCCTTCTTCTCGGCCCGCGCCAAAGGGGTCAGCATGTAGGTGAGGTCGAAGCGGTAGAGGATGTTGAACATGCGCTTGTGCAGCACCATCGATATGGTTTTTACCGCCTGAACATACTCGGAATCGGCATTCGATTGGGCATTGATGGACACACCCATGGCGGTTTCTAAAAAAAGAGGGAGGAAATCTATTGAAAAAACGATCTAAAATGGATATGGTCGGTGATTGGGTAAGGAATTTGTATAAATCATATAATATCTTATAATATCTATCATATAATAATATATAATATCATATAATATCATATAATATCACATAATATCATATAATATCATATAATAACATATAATATCACATAATATCATATAATATCATTTCATATCATTTAATATCATATAATATCATATAATATCATTTAATATCATTTAATATCGTATAATATCAAAAATATCATATAATATCACTAAATATCATTTAATATCATATAATATCACATAATATCACATAATATCATATAATATCATTTAATATCATTTAATATCATGTAATTTCAAATAATATCACATAATATCACATAACATCATTTAATATCATTTAATATCATATAATATCAAATAATATCAAATAATATCACATAATATCATTTAATATCATATAATATCATATAATATCGTATAATATCGTATAATATCACATAATATCAAATAATATCATATAATATCACATAATAGCACATAAAATATCACATAATATCACATTCCCACCGCAGATCGTGTCCATAGTGCACAGATTGATCCAATCGTAGAGACTGAACCCAGCGTCTCCGCTCCTCAGACGATCCCTTTCCATGTTCCGCAGCAGATCACGGGATCCCTTCTCGAAGACCTCGACGAACTGATCGAGGATCTTGAAGTGGAAGGCGGGCGTGATGATCTTGCGTCGCTTGTGCCATTTGCGACCACGGCTGACCAGCAGACCCTCCTTGAGCCACGGCTCCAGGGCCTTGTACTCGCCGGCCTTGTCATTGAACCGCAGGGTGCCCAGGACCACCTCCACGTCCTTGGGATTGGCCATCAGGACATTCAGCTCCGGCCCCAGCCAGACCTTGAGCACCTGGTCCTTGGAGTACTTCTCCATGAACTCGAATATCTTCTGGACCATCTCGTGCGGCGGCAGGCCGATGAAGTGGTGGCCATGGCCCACCAGTGGCAGCGCCGGAGGACCCGGCATGTAGCTAATCAGGTTGATCAGCCGCTTGAACTTCAGCTGGTAGAGCAGCAGGCCCACGAAGAGGCCGCTGGCCAGGATGGCGCCGATGACCAGGAACATATTGCAGGTCGTCTATAGACTTTTCGTGATTTTCCCTAATCAATCTGCAGGCATTCGCAACGGGGGAACTACTGATCCGGCAACAAGCGGCCCGTAAACATGAGAACCACGACGGAAACGGCCAAAAGCATTGATTATCCACCCAACGAGACACTGGGAGAAAGGCTTCTCTAGCTTGATTTCAAAATATTTTAAGAGGGATTTTCCAATTTATAGTTTCCCATACTAAGTTCTTGCATTTATATATATTTTCCCTGAGTGCAGCTAATGCCGCTGATCCTAATCGCTGTAGGAATATCTTATCGCGCTGTCGAAAGCCAGCCAACTACCGAAATACTCTGCCAAACAAGCTCGAAATCTTATCGCCATTGATATTGATAACTGTATTTAGTTTTTTATGGCGGTGAGTTGGAATTGAACCTTGGCCCAATGCTTTCAATCGGTCTCCCCCCCGGAGATTTCTGGATTGCTGGATTAGAATACGGCCACTAATAAAAAATAATCATTCAAATGGTATAGAAATAATTTAGCTGATGTGAAACCAAAATAAAGAACATTTTTTAAAATAAAAATTTTTTTTTTTTTTATAATTTCTCCATCCTGTTATGTTTTCAAGTTATTTGTTTCTATTTGTACTATACGTTTTATATCCATTAATTTGGCTGATCAATGTAAAATTATATGAGTTACTCAAAAAAAAAAAAAAAAAAAAAAGAATTTCTACTTAGTATACAATTCACTCACCGCAAATGGCGTCCAAGGTGCAGAGGTGAATGGCCTCGCCCAGGTTGATCTTCTCCTGCCCTCTGCTCCTCTTCAGCCGCAGCTCCTCGACGAGACGAAGACTCTGCCTGTCGAAGATCTCCACGTAGGGCTCCAGGATGCGGAAGTGGAAGGCCGGGGTGATGATCTTGCGGCGGCGGTGCCACTTGCGTCCACTGCTCACCAGCAGTCCCTCGTTCAGCCAGCGGTTGAGGAAGGAGTACTCCTGCGACTTGTTCAGCAGCTGGGTGCTGTTCAGCACCTTCTCCACGTCGCGCGGATTGAAGAGCATCACGCTGTAGGAGGGCCCCAGGAAGAGGCCGAAGGCGTCGCCGTGCCGCTCCGCCAGTTCGCCAATCTTCAGGATCGCCTCCGCGGGGCTGAGGCCCCAGAAGAGATGGGCATTGCCCAGCAGGGGCAGCGGCAGAGGAGCCGGAACAGTCCGCATGTTCCGCACGAAGCGCAGCATCTCCAGGGCCAGGATCGCCAGGAGCAGGACGAGTGCCAGCAGGAGCCACATTTTCGGGGGAATGGGGATGACCAGTTCACTGCAGGCGATGCTGCCGTCTGCTTCACATGCCCAGCTCGCGACTAACTCAACACGTTGATAACCCAAGATGCCGGCTGCTTATCAGCAGCTCAACTAGAGATGGCAATTGGGAAATCATTGGTGATCCGAATTATGTATTTTCCAATTTTTTCTTTTGGTTTTTTTGCTGTAACTTGGCCAAAAATGGTCCTACACCAAAAATACGTACTGTTTTGAACAGATTACAAAATTATCAATAAATCCATAACACTTTTCGTGTGATTTTGGAAAAATAAAATTTTCGCCAATTTTTAATTTTTTTATAAGGGGGTACCCCATGATTTTTCGCGAAAAATTAAAAATAAATAAAATGTCAAGGTTTAAATGCCAATCGTTAGGAAATTAAATAACGAGTTCAGAAAGGTATGACAAGCCATACTTTCAATCAGTATTTGCTTTGTTTTAGCGAAAAAAATGCTCTGTTTTATGATTATGATATGATTTGATTTTTTTCTTTTGGTTTTTTTTCTGTACCTTGGCCAAAAATGGTCTTACACAAAAATTTATGCTTTACAAAGTGTGTACTTAAAACATAGAGTTCATTTTCCATATAGGCTTTCTAAAACATATAATAATTTATATTGCACTTGAAATACGTTTCTGGGGTCACAGTCTAATGTTTAGCGAATTCCCCCAGTCATCCTTAGCTGGCATAAAATCAAAAACCGGGAACGGTCATCAGCATCTCGGGTTGACAGAGATTGGCGGCTATGTCTATGGGTATTCGGCATTTCGGAGAGATTAAGATTAAGAAGCCGATCTTCCGATCGGAAGAGAAACGAATGTGATTGAGTTGATGGAATCGAGTGTAAACAAACCGTCCCAAATGGCATTCCTTTCGATTCGATTTGGTTCGATTCGATTCTATTCCAGCGCTACTTGTTTACATTCTCTGGGGGGCGAGCACCTGACAGCAACTCATCCAGCTTTCCACCCCCTTTCCACCCCCTCTCTGACGTCACAATGGCCACATGGCCGGGCTATTTTGGGGCCAGGTGCTCTATATTTAGGCCATCCCACTCACATCCCAGCGATGGCAGACAAACAACGATGACGAAGTCGCGAACTTGAAATCAATGAAATCCTCAGCGCGAATTTCGACGGGGGATTTGGATTTGTTTAGAGTTCTCTGGAAAAACTGCACTGCTGTATCCAAAATTAGGCTAATTTCAAAATGAAAATTTGATTTAAAATAACGTTTGGAGAGGGTTTTAGGTACCCTGTATTTTATTGTATATTGTATTGATTGTATTGGTATAATTTTTAAAATTCTTATTATTTCGTAAAAATCAACTAGTAAAAAAACAAAAAACCATAAGGGAATTTACTTAATTACTAAGGAAAATTGCAAATAAAAATATATAAAAGAAACTTACAATAATTACCAATAAAAAATCGCAAATAACAATCCATAAAAGCACAACTCTAATTTACTTAATTACCCAGAAAAATCCTTATTGGGCCGCTATTCGCTCACATATCTTCTCAGCACTTCTGACCTTTATGGCCTTTAAAATGCAGATGTTTATGCAGCTGCGAATATGAATTGGCATATTTGCATATATACGTACAAATTTGCGCTGTACCCGAGCACAAATTAGAAATTCCCATTTGGCAGCCCCCAGTTGACTCATTTGACTCGGCCACCACAACCACATCCCCATCCCCAACCGAATATATGAAATCCGCATCAGAATCGGAATCAAAATCAAAATGCGAACCCCCATCTAAAAACACACTGCGTACTAGATAAAAACTCTACGTAAATATGTTTGTACATGTATATTTATTATACCACAATGGCAACAACAGGCGTCCTTCGACCATGCCAAATTCCAAAATTCTTGCGTCGCCGCTCGTCGGTCGTCGACTTCGACGTCACTTTATCTCCGAGATCCGAGATCCTCCTGCCCTCCACCCCCCGGAAAAAAGCGAAAAAATATAGAAAGGCGGAACGTAAATATTTACACATGTCTTACAAGTGCTGGCCATTTTTCGATGTCGGATATATAGCCATATAGCCTGTGGGGTGCGGATGGGGATTGGAATTTCATTGGCATTTCCATTTTTTTGATTTTGTTTCTGTTCATCTTAACATTGCGCATCGCTCTGCCGGTCGACAGTTCAATGAGGTGGCCAAAGGGTCGTAGTCGGGCTTCCTTATCAGGGGGTTCCATTTTTAGGATCCCTTTAATGTATATTTTGGTAATAAAAAATAACCCTCTTAAAATGTTAAATGTATCACAAATATACAATGACAATGGCTGGCTATAAATAATAGTTATTTAACCGGATAAATCATGCTAGTTCTAGCCCCCCTCCGAAATATACAAATTCAGACTACGCCCCTGCTCAGGATCCCCTAGCCGTACGTACTTCAAAGCGAAGTGCAGCGGCTAGATGGATGGACACGAAGCGACCTCAACTCTGGAGAGCACTACATCATAACAATAAAAATAATAGCAATTTGGCAGAGGCGCGCAATTTGCGTCAACGGCACTTGCCTACTTGGCATCTATAGTACTCGCATAGAATATAGCATATATCGCATCCATGTATATAATACGAGCGGTCAAAATAACAGAAATTTCTAGCAGGTTTTTCCAATATTAAAAGAATAAAATAATATTAATTATAAATAAAATAAAGAATAAAAAATATATCAATACCATTTAGATAATTTATTATATTTATTTTATTATATATTTTTTTTTACATCAAGTTGCTATCTTGGTGACCTGTGCTGTTCCTGGGTGGGCCAACTGCCCGTCGTATATTTAGATCTAAGGATGAGCCATCGTATCGCTCGTCTTCTGCGCCACAATGCATGCCCGTACTAATAATACAGCATAATAACAATAATAAAACATATGATTAAGCAGACGCAGCGTATGCGCAATTTTCGCTTGCCGTTGCCCCGTTGATCCGCGCATTACGTATACGCCACCGATCCGAAATAAATTCGCGAAAAAGGCGGCGGCAATCGCTGGCCAAATAAGGCAATATCCGTTATTCAGCGCCATTACTTAAAGCGGCCAATAATTGAATATTAGCAAATCTGTTTCCTCTCGTCGAATGCGACATCGGCCGACGAAATACGAAATTTGAATAATTTTGGTATGATGAATCATCTCGAAACCCAAATATAGTAGCTCATTTTGACGTTTCCACTTGGCTATTTTGTACAAATAAATACAACTAATTGTTTCTATTACACATTATATTGCTGTGCTGACAAGTTTTGCGTTGAGGGAATTAAAAGTATTTCCTTTTTTTGTTTTATTGAAAAGAACAAATAAATAATATCTAATATTTATAAATTCCAAAAGGTGAATTTGTTTTGAAGACTTCTTTGTGAGCCACAAATTTACGACGCATTTGCCGAAGGGAAAATATTGGAAATGGAAAATGAATATAGGCCAAGTGCCCTCTGCATTCCGTATTATTTTTGTTCTTGAGACTCGGAATCCATTTGAGGCTGATCGGTGATCCCAAATGCAATTGACTCTTTATTACTGAGGGACAAATACGCGCAGTGCCGACAGCATTCTGGCAGATCTATCAAATAATTTATGCTAACCATTTGGCAATCACTTAGTCGGCGGCTTCCTTCATCAGATCTTCAGATCCTCGGATGCAACAGGAAATTGCTCAGGCGAACGCATTTTCATTCATGAGTTGATTTTATTTATGTGCTGGCTGCTGCCAAACCAGGCAAACCAATGTTGCTCCCATACGGTATATGGTATGGGGTATATATAATATATATTATATAGTATATAGAATGGGGTAGTAGGTAGTATATAAATAATTGCCATCGAAATCGCATCGCCATGCACTTGTGGCTGTCAGCCAAACATGCAACAATAACAAGCGAGATCTGCAGTGGCACGGGTCCAAAGGAAGTGATGGACCGCAGGCATACCCAGTGAACCACTTGTGGCTGATCTAGGTAATCTCAAGTATGATGTTTTTACCGGAATCACGCTTTAAATCGGAATCATCAATAGAGCAAGGCAATTATAATAATAAATTATGACAAGCTTATGGGAACCCTACTTAAATAAATTTAAAAATAAGTATTACCAATAAAAACAATAAGTGATCATAGAAACCAATCTATTCCTATCCTAATTCTTATTAATTGAGTTTGAAAAATATTTTAATAAGATAGTTCTTAAACTAATTATTTTGTTAGTATAATAACGAAATTTTTGTAATATACTATACTATACAGTCTTTACATTATTTAGTATTAAATCAACACCACATTTGTATACAAGTATTAAGAGTTAAGCTGTGGTTTTTATCCCGACCCAACTGCCCAACAGACCCCAAAACTCAGTGCCCGAATACCCAGCATTGTATGCGAACAATGCAGTCGAATTTGTTTAATTAGCGGAATAAACTCGTATATTAAAGATTGGCGGGCCGGGTGGACCAAGTCCAAATCCGCACCCGTATCCGAAACCCAACTGACAAGCCAAGGCAGCTGGGCACGCGCATTTCGTAGGGGATTCTCGGGGATTCTCTGGGATTCTGGGCCTCTATTCCTCGAGGATCCTAAGACCAGAACTCCTATTTCGGCTCCTCCTTTCGGGGGTCGCGCCTTTTGAACGGCATCCAAAATTCCCTTCGACGATCAGCGATCAGCGCGTTACATGAACCCTCGATCGAAACGAGACCCAACCATCAGCATACCGTTAGATGGTCGGTCTATTTCGGGTCTATATAAGCGGGCTGCCAAGGGGGAGGGGCAGAGGGGGCGGTTGGGAGGGGGAAAAGGGAGGGGGAGCGGGAGGGGCAGAGCGACCGCTTCCGGTTTTTCCCAAGAGCATTACGAACGGCACGAGCGTTGCATCGCTGATTCGATTTTCACTTCTCTACGTTTCCCACATGCCGACACACTGCGAGAAAAATGCTATAGCACGCAAGCTGGGATTTTAAAACAAGTGAGAAATATATGGACTGACCCTAAAAAGTTGTAATATTTACTAAAAATAATAGTCTTGGTTATTACGAATTTTAAGAAACATTATTATTATAATTATTAGTTAAAGTTAAGGGATTAATGATACACAGAGAGAATTTTTCATGAACGTTGCACTTAAATGAAGAATTTTTACTCAAAATAAAACCAAGTACTCACTTTAAGTGCGAAATACTCACTTTCAGTACAATTTTTTATAGTAATATACCTTGTAATTGAGTCTTTTTAGAGTTTTTTTTCTCCAAAAACGAGGACAAATAAGGGGGAAACATCAAGGATTATGTATTAGGCTTTTTTTTTTTTATCAAAATTTGACCACAAAATTAGTACTTCCTCAAATTGAGAATAAAAATACTTAATTTGAGAACGTCAGTCTTCTTGAAAAATTCTTTCTGTGTATATAGATACAATTTAAAACTTTGTAGTGTGGTTGAACATTGAACATATAAAAAAAATTTTAAAAATTGTAAAATGTTTACAATAAACGGAAGAGTTACTATTTATCTATTTTACTTTTTTTTCTCCGTGTACCTCTCTTTCGAGCTCTTTTCTCTGCGGCTTCTTGGAGGCCCCTGGAATCGGAATCCGAATCGGAATCGAAATCCGAATCGGAATCTGTTCTGCGGTCGAACTCGAACTCGGACCCTCGGATCAGCGGAGCGCGTAAGCTGGTGTTGATTGGAGAGTGACCCCCCGTCTAAATATGTGTATCCATACCATCTGCCTGGTATAGTGAGTGAACTGGAGTGCCAACTCTCCACCAGGTGCTCCCTTGAACTTGGAAATTCCAACTTCTGGGAGTTTTTCACGTTTGTCTGGGAAAAAAAGCGGGCAAAAATGGTGAGGACGGTCTAAAATTAATAGAAAATGAAGAGAGCATTTTCACACGCCGAGAGCGGGAAAACAAAGCAGAAAAGCTGAGAAGAAGCTGAAAATCGGAAAATCGGAAAATCAGAAAAGCAGCTGCCCTGTAGGTGTGTGTGTCGCGGTGTGCGTGCCATCGCGGCTATAAAAAGAAAGCGCGATCGCTTTCGGCGCTCACTTTTGGTCGCAGCTACCAAACGGCGTGTACCCATAAGAGATATATTAAAATAAGAAATAAACCAAAAGATATAATCAACCACATCGATCAGATCCAAATCAAGTCAAATACAAAATAATTAAAACCGCGAGTATCACATTTTTCTTGTTTTTTTTTCCGTTGTTAAATCAAAAAAAAAAGAAGAAGAAACGTTTTCGAAACGTTTGCATTTTGCATTGTGAGTGGATCGAATCGAAACGGATATTTGGTAGCCCGACACATCGAGGAATTCCAGCTAGCCAAGAGCCAAAGAAAAGAAATAAGAGGAGTAGCTTCCAGAAACCCCAAGAAAAGTGAGTGTACTGTGGAAAGGGGGTAAAGTGTTTAACCCTTATGGAATAAGTGATCAAAGGAGTTCCGAAGCCTCTGGAAAGACTAGAAGCCATTTTTTCATTCAAAACCCCCACAAGTTAACTAGTTGTACCAACAACATTTGCTTATATAAATGATTTGTTGTACTTTGAATACATACTATTGTTCTATAGGATCCCAAAATCTTTGCTTTCGTTCTAAAAGGAAAAAGAATATCTAAGCTTTGCTTAAATAACATATAGTATTCAATCTTTTATCTTTGGGGGAATGTAAATCATCTTCGATTATAATATTATGTTGGAGAAAAAATTGCAATGCATTTCTTAAAGTTCTCTTGGAGTTCAACTGATTGAATACTTATTTAAATCAATTTCTGTGATTGATCTCTGGATCCCAACTAAAAACATACCTGATATGCGTAGCAGGTTGTTGGTAACTTAAAGCTGGCTGGAAATCGCGGAGGTTAATGCACAGCAATTTCCAGTTAATTCGAAATGGGAAAAAGCGGCGAAATGGGCACGAAACCGAATTCCGGTTCATCTTTCGGGGTCGTACGACTACGAATACCATGATGCCATGCTGCTATAACTATTACTATCATGATACTATACTATTGCCATGCGAGGGGCGCTCAAAAGTTCAGGCCTAACGGTCTTTTTTCGCTTTGTTTTGTTTTGTTTGGCCTCTGTTTTTGTCTCTGTTTCTGTCTCTGTTTCTATCTCCCTGCTTTCTGTAATTTCGTTTCGCTTTGGTTGGTGGGGTCTGTGGATCCGTAGACCTCTTTGGAGGTCTGGGTCTCGGTCGCAAAGGAAATGGTAAAAACTGGTAAAAAGCAAAGAGTAAATAAACGCCGTTTGGCAATTCGCCATAGACGCAGGCATAAAAAACTCATCCACAATGGGATATGGCACATCACACACATTTCCATTGTTATGAATGTTGTTTGTTGCTAAATTTAATTGGTTTTCTTTCCCATCGCGGGGCCTTTGTCTCCAACTCTTTTCTCTTTCCGATTGCAGGCAAAAGTGTTGCGAATTCGGGCTGACAAAAGGCCAAGAAAGAGCAGTAACAGTAGCAGTAACCCCATCCCAGCAGCAATCTGCATCTGCCGGTCGAAGATCCCAGCCAGAATCAGCATCAAAATCAAAATCAAAACCAAAATCCGGAACCCAATCAACCTAAAACCAGTGCAATTATGACGGACGTATCGCACGAATTGGGGGCCCTGCGTTTCGTAGTGGTAAGTAATCTCGATTTTTAGATCAATAATCCCAAATGATCCCCCCTTGAGTGTAACAACTGTATAGTTTTGTGTATCAACCCTAAATAATCTTAATCTTTAAAAATTTCGAGTAATTTAAATGTTTAAATTTATAGATCACAGTTGTACAACTAAAATTTGTTAAATGTGGTATTGTTATTACAATCATAGGGTTTCTAAATATTGCCTGCAATTGGAAACAATATTTTAATTCACTTAGATCTTATAGAATCCCTTTGAAAAAGTGTATAAAAAATAAATTTAAAAAGTTTGCCAAAAATGCCGCCCAGAAACACCAGAGCCAGAAAATAAAAAAGGGATTTGGATTAGGATTTGAAGAAATGTTTGGAATGCCGCACTGGGAACTATTAAAAGATCGCAACAACAGAAACTCAGCCACATTGTATTGTTTTTTCCGCATATCTCGTGCGACGAATGCCCGAAAATTATTTATGCGTCGAAAAGAAAACCACAAGAAATGCGTGAGAAGTCGGAATAAAAAATAAATATAATTTAAAAAAAAAGGCAAGGAAAAATAATAATGCAAATGGCCAAAATAAATGTCAAGCGAAAGCTGCGAGAAAAATGTCTGGACAGTTTCCAAGAGCATGATTAAAAATCATTAGGATTGAAATGATATAAAGAATGTTCAGCCTCTAAAAGAGCCACAAACAAAACAATAACAATGCGGGTTTGTTCTTTTTGTCAGAAAATTTGCTGCTGTATTTGTTTTAATTTGTCGCCACATGAATTGCCAAAATATACACACCCCGACTTTTTGCCTTTTTGCCTCTTTTTTTTGCCACACCAAATAGATATAGACAAATAGAACATATAACATATAGAATAGAATGGCAGAAAAACAAACGGGTTTTCGGGTTTTCGGTTTTTCGGTTTTTCGCACAGCCAAAAAGATCAAAACACGGAAAAATTCTTGGCAATGACCATCGAAATAGCAATGCTGAATATGCATAGATACCCATAGCCACACCCGTCCGTAGTGTCCGTCCGTATAGAGAATATATCTGTGTAGAATGCCCAGACTTTGCGAGAGTGACAACGGCGCCGACAAATAGATCCGTACAGCCGGGGGGACTACGTAACCAATTCGCAACGGACCCGGCCAGCTGCAATATAAAGTGTTGGCCAAAAAGACGACAATATCGGTTTCAGTTTCTATATAATTTATATACCACGCTCAATAATATCATACTTTAAAATTCCTTTTTATTATATTTAAAATATTATAACTTGTACTTCATATAATTTATATACCACCCTCAATAATATCATACTTTAAAATTCCTTTTTATTATATTTAAAATATTTTAACTTGTACTTTATATAATTTATATACTACGCTCAATAATATCATACTTTAAAATTCCTTTTTATTATATTTAATATATTATAACTTGTACTTATTATTGGAGAAATTTCAATGAAAGTCTCCCACAATTGTTAGCTAATTTTGATTCCCCGATGAGCTTGGTTTTTTCAGTTTTTTAGGTCGTTGGCTTTTCGCAATGCATTTCCATTATGTTTAGAGATCTGCGTACCTTGTTTGCAGCACAAATTTCGTTTTTATCGCCCTCGAAGTGGAGAGGCGACTTCCCAGTGACGAAATGAAAATTTCAAAACTAATTTCTATGGACAAGTTTATTATGCATTTTTCCCAGACTTTCTCCCCGGGGTGAACAAAAAAAAAAAAAACAAAGTGAAAAGCGGTCGCCAAGTTCTGGCCGCTTTTCATTCATCGTTGGCTTCGGTTTATTTTTAAACGCTTTTGCGACTGTGTGCGATATGAATGAAATTCGCCTGATTGACGAATTTTTGGATATTGATCAAAGAGACAAATTCGGAACGTCATTGCGCCGCTTGCCAAAATGGCAAATTATATAAACATCGCATAAGCAGTGGGAAGAGTCAATAGTCAATAGTATTCATTCATATTCAGATTCATATTCACGGGCAACTCGATCAGGGACTCCACTCTTATTTCGATCTAGTGCCCATAAATAATATTTATAATCAAATAGAATAAACACCAGCTAGTGGCGAAAATTGGCCGTGAAGGTCATTCCTGTTTTCTTTTTCTCTCGCTTTTACTTGGGCTATAGGAAGTGGCCGTATATATTCATATATATATATATGTTTTTAGTTGTTCGTCAAAGTGTGCTGCCCCGCCCACACATTGCCCCCTGTTCGTACGCCCCCTTTTCCGCAGAGACTTTTATTTATGACCACGACATTTGCGCATTCCTTTCTTTGGCCGCCGCTGGTGGCTCATGGCGCGGGAATCTTGCACTTATTAGATGAAAAATTACACAAAATGTAAGACCGCTGTTATTTAATTGCGGCTAATTAATTTTCCCGCGAGAACTTGTTCGAGCAAGTTGTTGAATTTGAAAACCATTAATTGCGCGCCCAGTGGGTGGGTGAGTGGTTGGCAACGCGAACGGGGAATTTGAAGAACATTAATCTATTTTAAATTGAAACCAGCTTTGAATGAATCTTATTGCAAATAAGTGCCTTAAACTTAAACAATATGTAATTTGAAATAATTTACTATTACTAGCTGATTCTTATAGTTAAGCTTGAGTTGAATTGACCGCCCACCTGTCGAATAGTTGGCAACGCGGTTAGCTGACAGGTTAAGCAGTGACAAGTCTGGCAACGCCGCGCAAAGTTCAAAGGCTTCCTTTAAATTTAAACTTACGAATCTCGCCTTCTGCACTTCCAGGACTCGCCGCTCTCCTCCAAGGTAGCCATGTTCAACAACCAGGCGACGCAGCACAAGCAGTCGCAGCTGCTGAACCCCTTCTCCCAGGACGGACGCGCCTCCTCGCCCAAGCCGACCTTCTCGAAGGACCAGTACGGAAAGCCGCTGGCCGGCAGCCTCACGGAGATGCGTGGCCAGAAGGCCAACATCCATGTGATGAAGGAGATGCTCGAGCTGTGCCAGATCATCAATTCGGAGGGCTACGACGTCAAGGACGAGCCCACCATGCGCGTGATTCCCTTCGGCGAGCTGTTCAATGTGAGTTTCCTGGATTTTCTTGGTGACCCAGTGACTTAGTGGGCTACTATCTTACAGATCTACAACTACATATCCGACAAGGTGGTGGGCATCCTGCTGCGCGCCCGCAAGCACAAGCTGGTGGACTTCGAGGGCGAGATGCTCTACCAGCGGCGGGACGACAATGTGCCGGTCTTCCTGCTGAAGCCGATCAAGGAGATCCGCAGCGAGATGGATGCCAAGATCGAGGACATCAAGCGGGCGGCCAGTCCGGCGCCGCCGCAGTCCACCTCGGTGCTGATGGACCGCAGTGCCCACGAGCAGAACCTCAAGTCGCGTACTCCCTCGCCGGCGGTGGGCAAGTCGGCCAAGGCCAAGTCGGCGTCGCCGGCACCGGTGCCCAAATCTGCGGCTCCAGTGGTTCAGGCAGCTCCTGCACCCGTTCCCGTGGCAGAGCCTGCTCCGGCACCTGAGGCAGCACCTACTCCTGCACCGGTGGAGGCTCCAGCTCCATCTCCAGCTCCCGTTGAGATCAAGCCAGAGGAGCCAGCAGCGCCTGAAGCTGCGCCCGTGGCCGTGATAGTCAGCGCAGCAGAAGCAGAACCGGAACCGGAAGCACCAGCCACCAAAGAAGAAGCAGCTGCTCCAGTTGCACCCGCACCCGCACCCACAGCTGCCGAGGATTTGCCCACAATTGTGATCGAAGCCACCGCCGAGTTTGTGCGCACCGTCAGCGTGGAGCAGCTGGCGCCCAGTCCCGCAGAGGCCACCCAATCCTCGCCAGACGAATCCCAGCCAGAGTCCACGACCGCCTAATGGAGCGGGAACAGAACCTGGAATCGTTTGAAAGCAACTCGCGCAACTACTAAAGCGGCAGCTTTAAATTGCAGTAGTTTAGTTTACGGCGTACTTAGTTTAATTTACAATTAGAGCAACACACACTGAAGACAGAAACAGAAACAGAAACGAGAGAGCGACTATTTATTTATTATTATTATATATGTATATCATTAACGGACGACCAAAGGAGCCAGTTTCCTCAATTTTTTAATCATTACTCTATGGGAATTAACTAAAGTTTTCCACTCGCTAAAGTTGGGAAAGTGCAAGGCGATATAATATTAATAAAATAAATACACGTACTTAGACACAGTATAACAAAGGCATTTTAAGGGATTTGGAATTGGGAGAAGCAAGTTTAAGGATCTAGTTTAAAGATTCCTTTAAGCCAATTAAACTTTTAAATTTGAACGGTTGAAGTAGCTAGATGCTATCGATATACTGCATAGCTATAGCCATCGCTAGATGACCATCTGCGTTTATCGCCAGATCTAAGTCTATCGATAGCCCGATAGCAGGCCACACAAATAAATAATAAATTGAGTTATTTTGTTTAAACCAGAATCAGAATGTCTGTCCTGCGCCGTGACGTTTCGCCTTTGCTGCAGCGCATCCGGGCCTTCCTCCTGGGCGTGAGTATCCCTATTCCGTGCTCCGAATCCCCGGGAATCTTCCGGTCACGGAACTCTCGATTCTCCGTTATGTAAGACGGAAAATGGGAATCTCTTGGTGATACCGACTTTACTTACAGCGGGAGCACAATTTGGCGCTTCGCTTCGAGGACGGACTGGCCGATCGCACCCAGCCGCAGCCGGAAATCCCCGACGGACCCTCCCACCTGGCCTCCGCCAACTACTACTGCCAGCGGGACGCCCGGCGCGAGGTCTTCCCGCCCATCGACCTGGTGGAGCAGCAGAAGCAGCTGGCGGCGGAGGCCGGCGAGGCGGCCAAGGCCTCCTCCTCCAAGCTGCCCACTCCGGGCAAGACCTACGCCTGGGATTAGGAGGCCCCAGTCCCCCGAAGGGAATCCGCGGGAATGTTTTTTTTTGAGTTGTAGTGCGAGTTAAAGCTAATATAGAATCCATTCAAATCGAAACTGGAGTGTAGTGAGTGCATTCAGTGATGGAGGTACTGGAGTTTTCTCTATATAGGAATCATGTACCTCCTATGATAATTATAAAATTTGTTAAACAAGAATTTGATTCCTTAAATTTTAATAACATTCATTTTTTTTATTTTGCTTTCTTTTAAATGCTTTTTCCTTGTCATTATAAGAGTAAAATCTTTAAAAAAGATCCTTCTAACATCTCTTAAATTCAAAAAATGGTACAGACCATTCATGAGAAACAAAAATATGGGATTATATTCACATCACATTTCCTATGCTATTTAAAAAATCTGTTAAACAAGACTTTGGTTCTTTAAACTTTAAGGGAATTTATCTTACCTTTTCATAACTTAAATTTTCTTAATTTTGCTTTCTTTTAAATGCTTTTTCTTTGTCATGATAAGAGTAGATTCTTTAAAAAAGGTCCTTCTAACATCTCTTAAATTAAAAAAATAGTATATCGCATTTATGAGAAAGAAAAAAATATGATTATATCCACATCATATTTCCTATGATAATTATAAAATTTGTTAAACAAGAATTTGGTTCCTTAAACTTAAATAACTTTAATTTTCTTTATTATTCTTTCTTTTTAATGATTTTTCTTTCTCATAATAAGGGTAGAATTTTTAAAAAACATCTCTTAAATTCAAAAAATGGCTAAGAAACAAAAAACTCCATCCATCACTGGATACATCTATATACAAAGTATTTTATTGCAATATTTACAGTTCCCTTCACTTAAAAATAGCTAAAAAAAAACAAACGACAACCAACCAGGAGTCCCTAATAGACGCGCGGCTTGATGCCCACGTTAATGCCCGTGGAGGAGCGCAGGATGAGGTTCAGCACCGGCTGCACTTCCTCGCCGAGGGGCAGCAGCTCAAAGTGCCGCAGCATCTTGCTGATGGTGCTCTTCATCTCCAGCATCGCGAACTTCTGGCCGATGCAGTTCCTCGCGCCCGCCGAGAAGGGAGTGTAGGCGAACGGGTTGATCTCGCCCTTGCGCTCCATGCTGAAACGCTCCGGCAGGAACTTCTCCGGCTCGGGGAAGTACTCCGGATCGCGCTGGGCATGGTATATCAGGATAACCACATCCGAGTGGGCAGGTATCAGCTTGCCAGCCAGCATGGTGTCCTGCGTGATGTGGCGTCCGATGAGCGGCACCGAGGGGAACAGGCGCAGCGACTCCTTGATCACGCACTCCAGGTACTTCAGCTCGCCCAGCTGCTGCATGGTGACCGGAGCCGACTTGTCGTCGCCGAGGACGTCGCGAATCTCCTGGAAGGCGAGCGCCTGGGCCTCCGGATTACGGGCCAGCAGGTAGCAGGTGAAGGCGATGCTGCTGGTCGTGGTGTCGTGGCCCTCGAACATGAAGGTGTCCACCTCCTCGCGGATGTCCTCGTTGCTCAGGGGCGCCCCATCGATGGTGGACTGCAACAGGACGTCCAGCAGGGCCATCCGGCGCTTCTGGCCCACGTCGTTCAGGAGAGGAGCGTTGCCAGCCAGGGACTTCTGGAGGAGATCGCGACGCTCGGTGATTACCGAGTTGGTGAAGCTGTGCATGTTGCTCACGGAATCGTTTAGCTTGTCGAGCACCTTGGGATAGAATAGCCTCATCAGGGCATCCTGGCGCTGCAGGGGATTCATGAAGCGCTCAGCCAAAGTGGCAGAGGCACTGGAAATACATGGTTATCCATTAGCTCGCTGAGGAATATGATTAGTACTCACTTTTTCACCGACTGAACGTAGGGAAAGTCCGGCTGCAGCTGAGCATTGATCTTCACACCCATGGCCGTTTCCGCAATGATGTCCATGGCACACAAACAGGCCACCGGGAACATATTGATCACCGTCTTGCCATCCGCCTTCGCGTGCAGCTGCTGGGCCATAATGGCGCTCTGCTGGTCGAAGACCTCCACGAAATCCTCGAGGATCTTGAAGTGGAAGGCGGGCGTGATGATCTTCCGGCGGCGGAACCACTTCTGGCCCTTGCTAACCAGCAGGCCGTCGCCCAGCCAGTTGGTCAGCAGGCCGTAGAGGTTGTTCTTCTGGATCGTCTGCTGGCTGCTCATGATGGCCTCAATCATCTTGGGATCGGCGGTCATGAAGCCGCGCTCGCCCATCATCTGGATCTTGACATTCTTGCCGTACTGTGCGATCAGTCGGAATTGCAGATCGAAGACGGCTGGAAAAGAAATAGTTGATCCATTTAATTTGTATTGAATTGTATTGTATTGTATTACAACAAAGGATCTAAAAATTGTAAATCCTCACACTTTTGGTTTCTTCAAAATCATTCAGTTCTGATTTTTGAACTGTTTTTTAATTGTTTTCACTTTAAGTTATAAAATCTCCAATCTCTTTCGAATTCGTTATCAGTATTACCAAAACCTAATCTTGTGGAACCTTTATGAAATTTGTTTCCTTGTTGTATTACAACAAATAATCTAAAATGTATATATCCTCACACTTTTGGTTTCTTCAAAACCATTTATTTTTGAATATTTTAACCGTTTTTTAATTGTTTTCACTTCAAGTTGTAAAATCTTCAATTTATGAAATTTGTTTCCTTGTTGTATTACAACAAATGATCTAAAATTTGTACATTCTCACACTTTTGGTTTCTTCAAAACCATTCAGTTCTGATTTTTGAACTGTTTTTTAATTGTTTTCACTTCAAGTTGTAAAATCTCCAATTTGAATCAGAATTTGCGATTAGAATCACCAAAACCTAATCTTGTGGAACCGATTTGTTTTGTAATAATCGTATTATTATCCGACCATGACCTACTTTTGGGCGACTCGTTGATCATCATGGGCGCATTGCCCACGAAAGGATAGCAGGTGGGTCCGCGGATTCCGGCGGCGGCGTACATTTTGTTGTGGCGCCTGAATCGCAGGTAGTCCCACACGAACAGGGTCGTCAGGAGGATCGCAACGAGCTCCAAGTACATGGTTTCTAGTTCCGGCGTGGAATGGATTTAGAATTGATCTATCTAACGCTGGCACCGTTTGCCATCGACTGGTTGGTTCTGCTCGGCGGCGGGGCTGTTTTGTAGCCAACACGGATTGCGATAAGGCGACCACAATCAGTGGACTGGAGCCGAAAACCAAGGCGAAGGCCACAAATTACGACCGGGGTCAAAACCAGGCTACCAATTGGTGTGTCAACCCGGGAGGGTTTCATTCTCCCTTCATCTCTCAACAAACTGATGAGTTTGTCGCCTGGAAATGTCATCTCAACGAGGATCTTCGAGGACCAATTTATTTGATGAATGAACCGGAAACTGCACCTTCATCGTGACTCGAGGCTTCGCCACTATCGGAAGACTAAAAGTCCGCCCCCCTTTCTTGGATAACGCGAGCGTGGGCCTGGGAAATTCGCATGCAGCGTTATCTCCCCGTAGGAGTACCAGAGTACCAGGTTATATGTCCGATTAGATCGAAAGCTTTTGTCAGGCGTGTGGAACCAAAGACCAAACAAATATTTGAATAGATAATGGTTTAACCAATGTAATTGGAAATTAAATAAATTTATTGTTTGTAATAGTGGGTAATCCTAAATCTGAAAGAACTTTTAAAATCCCAAGGCAAGGAAAGCTACTTTACTTGGGGAATCCCCAATAATTTTAACACTATCTGGAAGTAAAGAATAAAATTACAATACTTTAAAACTGAAAATTAAAAGATGGATACTAATTTATGGATAAAAGTTAAATAAAATTAATTGTATAGGATTTATTTAATACATAGATCTATGCAGTTAAGAGCAAGCTCTCTTCAAGCGAGACTCTCTTAAATCTGAAGATGTAATTTAAGATCGGAGATCAGATAGATCAGAAGAGAAGAGCTTGGATGCTGTTCTATAACAGGTTAAACTAGAACTCTCTGAATAATTTAATATTTAAACAAACACTATGCGGGTATATTTCTCAATGCTATTAAACTTGAACCTCATTACATCGAAAACCGGAATTAGCAGAAGTGTGTAGAATTAATCAGACCAAATCGATCGATCCATTGATGATTTTTAAACGACTTCCGTTACGCTAAAAAATAAATATCTCTATTGAATGATTTAATTCATCGTGCATGAGCGTTATACCGGAATTTTGTTTATATCATTATAATTATTGCTGACTTTATTAAAATGTATATCCCTCAAATATCCCGGATAGATATCTATATTATCTGCCTAATCCAACTTTAGGTCCAATATTTACCTCGATTTGCTGAATAAGCATGACGAGCGAAATTGATAAGAGCTCCGAGCTGCCTGGTAATCATGATTGACCAAATAATAAACTTCAGTGTTTTCTTAAGAGTAAGATAAGCTAAACAAATGGGATTTCTAAATTTGTTCTACAACAAATCTACTGATGTTCGATAAATTCGACAACTATAATAGTCGTGGTTAACCCAATTACATTACTGATAAGAATGTTTAGCTAGTCGAGCAAAGAATACAGCTATTGATAACCATTCGATGGTCTCATGGTGACTGGATGGTCATATCTACAACTCATGGTGATTAGTTGGAAATAGGAAGTCTTAATCAGTGCGAATTTTATAAGATGTGTAGAAGATTTATAACTTTTTTATTTGCTTTGTATTTCTACACATCTCGATTAATAATTTAACAACTATTAAACCTATATCTTAATAAATTAACAGTTAATTTAATATCATAATAATTTAAAAGTTCAGTATATGCTAATTAACAGTAGTTATTTAAATTAATATCCTAAAATTCATATCCTATACAGAGCTTAAATTACTCGACTAAGCATGATCTTTAAAAAAAAGACTAACCATCATCGTGACTGGGCTATGAAATCCCGGTTAGTAAAATTCGCATTTGGAACAGCCCATTGAGAAAAGTAGATTACCAGACGAGGGTTACGTTCTCTTAGGCACTCGCTTCTCTCTTACGGAATTCAACCCAGCGGTGGATTCCAGATTAAGAGCCCCACCAAGCGTTGCGGGAGATAAAGAACGAATTATTATTATTTATAGGGCTGTTCAGTAGTTCGTCGCTCGTCGTCCGCTGCACAATGCTGGGAGTTCTGGGTCTGCTACTCCTGGTGGCGTTCGCCACACTCCTTGTGTGGGATTACTTCTGGCGGAAGCGGCGCAACGATATGCTGCACTATATGCCGGGTCCGCGGCCACTTCCGCTCCTGGGAAACGTGCTCATGTACCGTGGTTTAAATGCCGAACGTGAGTTCTCTATGATATCATGACGCTCTGTAGTATAAATTTAAAATATCTAGTAAATAGAAAGCTTGTAGATTAATAGCAGTTATCTGGCCACTTATGAATAGCAAATCCCGATCTCACCTTCGACCTTTAAACTCTAAAACCCCTAGAAATCATGGACTTTGTGACCAAGAACCAGCGCAAGTACGGTCGCCTTTACCGGGTGTGGGTCATCCACCAGCTGGCCGTGTTCTCCACGGATCCCCGGGACATTGAGTTCGTGTTGAGTAGCCAGCAGCACATCACCAAGAACAATCTGTACAAGCTGCTGAATCCCTGGCTGGGCGAGGGATTGCTGATGAGCACGGGCAGGAAGTGGCACGGTCGCAGGAAGATCATAACGCCGACGTTCCACTTCAAGATCCTGGAGCAGTTCGTTGAGATCTTCGATCAGCAGAGCGCCGTGATGGTGGAGCAACTTCAATCGCGGGCCGATGGCCAGACGCCCATCAACATCTTTCCGGTGGTGTGTCTAACTGCTCTGGATATCATTGCAGGTTACTATAAATGGTTTTTATATTTATATTTTTACTCCTTTTTCTTCCTCCGCTTAGAAACCGCCATGGGCACAAAGATCAATGCCCAGAGGAATCCCAATCTTCCCTATGTCCAGGCTGTCAATGAGTGAGTGTGCTCCAGGTGCAATACCCCTTTTATCTGACCAATTTCCCCTTTGCGCCAGCATCACCAACATCATGATCACTCGCTTTATCCACGCCTGGCAGCGCGTCGACTGGATATTCCGGCTGACCCAGCCAACGGAGGCCAAACGCCAGGATGCAGCCATCAAGGTGATGCACGACTTCACGGAGAACATCATCCGCGAGCGTCGTCAAACGCTGGTCAGCAGTTCCAAGGATGCGACGCCCGATGAACTGGTGGACGATCTGGGCCAGAAGCGCCGCCTGGCCCTGCTGGACGTGCTGCTGCAGTCCACCATCGATGGCGCTCCTTTGAGCAACGAGGACATCCGCGAGGAGGTGGACACCTTCATGTTCGAGGGCCACGACACCACCACATCGGCCATTTCATTTTGTCTGTACGAGATCTCCAGGCATCCGGAGGTGCAGCGCCGTCTGGTGCAGGAGATTCGCGAGGTTCTCGGCGAGGATCGCCAGCGGGCAGTTAGCCTGCGCGATCTCGGCGAGCTGAAGTACCTGGAGAATGTGATCAAGGAGTCGCTGCGTCTGCATCCGCCGGTGCCCATGATCGGCCGCTGGTTCGCCGAGGATGTGGAGATACGTGGGTAGTGATCCTGTCTCGCGAGCAACCAACTAAGACTCCTCTATTCCCAGGTGGCAAGCGCATTCCAGCGGGCACCAACTTCACGCTGGGCATCTATGTTCTCCTGCGCGATCCCGAGTACTTCGAGTCACCCGATGAGTTCCGACCGGAGCGATTCGAAGCGGACGTTCCGCAGGCTCATCCGTATGCGTACATTCCCTTCTCCGCCGGACCCAGGAACTGTATTGGCCAGAAGTTCGCCCTGCTGGAGATGAAGAGCACCGTCAGCAAGCTGCTCCGGCACTTCGAGCTGCTGCCTTTGGGCCCCGAGCCCCGGCACTCGATGAACATCGTCCTCCGCTCGGCCAACGGCGTCCATTTGGGCTTGAAACCCCGCAAAGCCTGAAAAATTATCCGTATTTGTTTAGAATAAATGTGAATGTGTGTGTACTTCTACACTTTTCCTTAAAATCTAGAAAAATCGTTCTTGAATTTTCTTTATCTAGAAAGGTTTTCTATATTCAAAGGCAAATTTTCTTTCTATTTTCAAAGGTATTCCGATTTAATGGCGAGATTTCTAAAATGTAGAAATTAATTTCTATGAGTGTATAGATAATTACCTGTATTTTGGTTAAATCGAATGGGAAGTGCGATTCATTGACTGCGGCACTTAACTAATGATTGATTCCACCAGCTGTTGTGGCGGAAAAACAGCTGGCTGGTGGTTTTCCCATCTCGCTCAGCCTGGTGCCGCATTTCCCCATCTCTGGGCGCACAATTCGAATCGGTTTGCTTATATAAACTCGAGTGTATAAATAGGTAATCCGTTTGCCCTGCTCCAGATAAGATTAGCTGCTTGACAGGGATCACAACATGCTGGTGGGTTTGCTGGCGACTCTCCTGGTCGCCCGTCTGGTGGCCTGGCTGTGCCGCTTGGCTCTTAAGGAGCTGCGACATCCTCTGCGCGGCGTGGTGCCCAGTGTTTCGAGGGTTCCCCTCGTGGGTTCCGCCTGGCAGATGCGCAGTTTCCAGCCAGACAGTAAGTTGCGGCTTAAATTCCTGGAGTTTCTTCAGTTTCCCTCTATATAATCCAGATCTCCATGAGAAATTCCACGAGTATGTCCAGCGATTTGGTCGCAGCTTCATGGGCTGCGTCCTGGGCCATGTGATTGTGGTGACAGCGGAGCCGCGACACGTGGATGCACTGCTGCATAGCCAGCAGCAGCTGAGGAAGGGCACCATGTACTGGGCTTTACGTGGCTGGCTGGGCAATGGACTCCTGCTGAGCCGCGGCGAGGAGTGGCACACGATGCGCAAGATCATCACGCCCACGTTCCACTTCAGCATCCTGGAGCAGTTCGTGGAGGTCTTCGACAGGCAAAGCTCTAGGTTAGTGGAGCGTCTGAAGCCCCATTCCCAGGGCGTTTCAGCTGTAAACATCTATCCCTTTGTGGGATTGGCTGCCCTGGACATCATCACCGAAACTGCCATGGGTGTAAGTGTGGGCGCCCAGGAAGATGACGATTCCGAGGTGGTCTGCGCTGTAAAAGAGTGGGTGTGAGAATACATATCAAAGCTATCCTGCAGTTACCTTTAAACCCCTTTCAGTCTGACAAACATCTTGGCCACCCGGTTCATGCGACCGCATCTCCTGTTCCCCCAGATCTTCCGCCTGTGCTGGCCCAGTGGCTTCAGGAAGCAGCAGGCCGGCGTCCGCTGTCTGCATCAGTTCACCAATGGCATCATAGAGCAGCGTCGCCTTCTCCTGGCCAGGGAATCGCACCAGGAGAAGCCAGAGATGCCAGAGAAGCGCCATGCCCTGCTGGACACCCTGCTGCGGGCCTCGGTGGATGGACAGCCGCTGACCGACCAGCAGATTCGCGACGAGGTGAACACCTTCATCTTCGAGGGTCACGACACCAGCACCTCGGCGGTTTCCTTCTGCTTGTACCTGCTCTCCCGCCACGAGGCAGTGCAGCAGCGGCTGTTCGCGGAGCTGCGCGAGCGCTACGGCGGAGATTTGGACAGGCGGGTCGTCCATTCGGATTTCGCCGACCTTCCGTATTTGAACTGCGTGGTCAAGGAGTCGCTGCGTCTGTATCCGCCCATTCCGGCGGTGGCCCGTTGTCTGGAAAGGGATTTGGCCATAGGTGAGAGGAAGAAACAAGGGTGTAAATCTCACTAAACTAACCTGAAATCCACTTTAGATGGCGGCCACATCCCGGCGGGAACCAATGTGGTCGTACTTCTCTGGCAGCTCCTCCGGGATGAGGAACTCTTTGCCAGTCCGTTGCTCTTCCAACCGGAGAGGCACCTGGGGGGGGATGGGGCCGCCACCCGACTGGGGCCCTACAGCTACATACCCTTCTCCGCCGGACCGAGGAACTGCATCGGCCAGAAGTTTGCCCTGCTGGAGCTGAAAACCATGGTGATCAAGCTGGTGCGGCACTACCAGCTGCTTCCAATGGGCCCGCAGGTGGAGCCGTCCATCAAGATTGTGCTGCGATCGAGGAGCGGTGTTAATGTTGGGCTGCGTCCGCGATTGTACCAATGATTTGTGATTTTAGTATTAAAGTGGCGCCAAAGCAGTTTGAATCTATCTGCCGTTATCGATAGCAGTCAGCTGGCGTGGAGATGGACGGATTTGACGGTTTACCGCCAAACTAGCTAGATTTGAAAAGTAACTAACGGTAGTTAACGAATTTAAATACAACTAAAAACTATGTGATAATGCTAACGAAATAATAAAGAAATAACTCCCCAAATATATATAGCAACAATTGCCTATAGATTTTAAAACCCTGCTGATAAGGAAAAGATGCAGCTGATAGCAATCGAGAGAGTGGAATAAACCCAATTGAGGCGATTAAGCTGGGCTAGCTGAACAACAAGAGATTACAATCCTGCGTCATATAAACACAACTAAACATCTGGCTTTTAAAGCTATTTTCAGGCTTTTGCTTTTGCTTTTGCCAATCGATAACTGTCAACTGTTGAATTATATGGAACAGAGCCGTTTGTTTTCCCAGCTTTTCACAGTTTTCCCGGCGTAGAAATGTGTTTCCTGCGTTTTCTGGCCCAGGCCCGCGGCGCCTTGGGGCGGGTGAGTGTTCTGCAAGTGGGTATCGAGTGGACCCAGCACTCCTAAGGCTTCTCATCTTCCGCAGCATCTGGCGGAGGTGGAGGTTTCAGTGTCACCTGGCCGCAAATTGCACCTGGTGATGGGCAACGAGTCGTGCGACCTGGACTCGGCCGTATCCGCCGTCACCCTGGCCTTCGTCTACGCCCAGCGCCACCGGGAGCACGACTATGTGCCCATACTGAACATTCCTCGCCGGGATTACCCCCTGAAAACGGAGGTGGGCCATCTGTTTGGCCAGTGCGGCATTGCCGAAGCGGCGCTGCTCTTCCGCGACGATATTCCCAGCGAGGTGGCCCAGGACGTGAGCGTTATCCTGGTGGATCACCATGTCAGCCCGCTGGCCGCGAATGTTTCGGAGATTCTGGATCACAGGCCGCTGGAGGACAGCAGTGCGTCCTTCAAGCAGCTTCCCGCTAGCTGTGTGCTGGACATCGATGCGGCCGTCGGATCCTGCGCCACTCTGGTGGCCCAGCGCTACTTGGCCGAGGAGCAGCCCCGATCCGCCGGCGTGGCCCAGTTGCTGCACGCCACCATCGTGCTGGACACCATTAACTTTGCCCCGGCGGCCAAGCGCTTTGGTCCCCGGGATGTGGCCATGGTGGAGCAGCTGGAGAGGGAGCTGTGCCGCCGGGAGGACCAGCGGAGCAGCCTCTTCGACGAGCTAGTGGCCGCCAGGGCGGACATTAGTAGGCTTACGCTCACCGAGGTGCTGCGCAAGGACATGAAAATCCTGCAGACCGATCGCCAGGTGGTTCCCCTGGCCGGAATGCCCATCCTGGTCAGGGATTTCGTGGAGAAATCGGGCGCCGAGAAGGCCGTACGCGAGTTCGGCGTGGAGAGCAACCTGCTCGTCATCCTGGGCATGTATGTCTCACCTGCCGACGGCCAGGTTCAGCGAGACCTGGCCCTGATCTCTCTCTCCGGCCAGAGTCAGTTTGTGGAGCGCGTGCGGCACGCACTAATGGAGTCCCAGGACCCAAAGCTGGAGCTGCAAGCCCATGCGGTGGACACCCGCTTTATGGGCGGCTGCTTCCTGCGCCAGCACAACGTCCAGGCCACCCGAAAGCACATCCTGCCCATCGTGAAGCGAGCGCTGCTCGAATGGGAGGCGGAGCATGGCTGCGACTGCGAAGAGGTGTACTTCTTCAAGGAGAAACCGCAGCTGGGACTCTCGTAAAGGAGCTTAGACAAGACTTAGCTAGAATTTTAGTGAAACCATTTATGTTACCAAAAAGGAGTAGCAAATCTATGATATTGTCGAAATTCTTCAGTATTCCTTGGCAACATAGGGGCGAAATTAGTTTCCCAGGGAGTAGTATTCCACACATTAAGTTTCCTCTAGTTTCCTAGTTGTTTATGTGGATTAAGCGAATATGTACAGGGCATACATGGGTAAAAAGAAAGCGGTTATGATAGATAAATAAAAAAAAAAGAGAACTACAGCTGCGGCTCCTCGGGCTCCCCATCCTCCTCGCCCATCTCGTCGTCGGCGCACTCGAGCGTCATGTCCTCCAGCATCTCCTCCAGCGTGATCTGGGGCACATCCCCGCCGGCGGCGGCCTGCACCTCAACGGGTATCGTCTTGTTCGAGTCGCGATAGATGTTGACCTGCCCGCGTATATCCTCGTTCTCCTCGAGATCATCGAGGAACTCGTGGTAGTCGTACTTGCTGCGCTCGTCGGTGGCCTCCGCCGCCAGATGCTTGATCTTCCACATGCGCTGGCTGAGCCTGGTCTGCCGATCGTAGTGCTTGCGCACCAGGATCACATCCGGAATTAGGTCCGGCGACAGTTTGTCGAACTCCTGGTCGTTGATGTTCGCCTCGCCCGTGTTGTAACCCATCACCGAGTCGCCCACCTTGAGCAAATGGCCCAAATGGGAGCGCGTGTGAATGGGATTGTCGTTGATGCCCAGTTCCGAGGCTCGCACCACCCAAATGTCGCAGAGGGCGTGCTTGAAGGAGACCTGCCCCTGGCCGGGATAACTCTTGCGGTCCTTCTCCATGATCACATCGATGTCCATGACGATGTACTCGACCAGCTGCTTGGGATTGCAGACGGCCTCGAAGGGAGCGCTGAAAAAAGGCCAATCAATTAGCTAAATCCAATTTAACAAAGCATCAAGAGATTTCCCACCGGAAGTACACCTGCGAGGTGAGCTCTGCGATCTGTGCGGTCAGGGGATCGATCAAGTGAATGCTGCTGGACACCCGGTTAACCAGGACCAGTGGCGAGAGATTGCCCAGCTGGTGGCGCAGCTTCTTGGACAGGCAGACGGCACTGTCCTTCGACACCGGCGCTATTTCCACCGACCAGTTGTACTTGTAGTTGTAGTTGTTGCTGTGGATGTCGTGCGATATGAGCCGCTTCGAGGTGGTCACCTTGCCGGGCACCATGGTCAGCAGGAAGTCGACCATGCGCCTGGCGTGGTTGTCGCTCGCATAGAAGAAGTCCAGGCCGCCGTGCTCCGGCTTAATGCCCAGCGTATTCTCGTGGGCCTTGTGCTTGAGGATCAGCTGCTCCAGGTAGTAGAAGGTCTTCTTGTTCTCCGCCCGCTGGCGCACCTGCACCAGGCAGCGCCAGAAGTCCTTGGCCTCGGTGCGATGGCAGTCGTTGCACATCTGATTCTGGACCGTGAACTCCACCACGAAGACCTGCTGCAGCACCGTGCCGCCGGTGATCTCGCCGTGCACCGTCAGCTTGACCTTGATGCGCTTGGAGTGCTGCTCCGTCCAGATGAAGCCCGCGTCCACCAGTTTCACGTCTTTGAGGCCCTTTAGCTTCTTCAGGCAAACGGCCAGGAGCTCGCGGGACTCCAGGGAGGCCTGGATCCACTCGTTCGGCGGCTGCAGGTAGCGCTCGCAGTTGCGACAGAAGTGCAGCACCGCCTGCTTGGGGATGTTCTCCGTGATGTCGACATGGTTGCGCAGACAGGTGACGCACATGTTGGCCGGATTCGGGGTGATGGCCACTCCGCACTCGCAGCACAGAACCACCGCGTTCGTGGCGGCGCCGCCGGCCCCCTTGCCCTCCCCGGCGCCCAGCGGGCTAACGCCAGCGTATTCGTGATCCATTAATCCTCTGGAGAATCTCTGTGGCGCAGCTATTTCACAATGGCGTTTCGGGAATGGAATGCACTGGTTTGTAAACACGTGCGAGTGAAAGTTATCGGGGGGTCAATCGGTGGAGGTGTCGGTTTAGCAGGAGAAAATAATCGGTGAGAGATTAGATTGCTAGCTAAATCTAGCTAGTTTGTAATGGGAAACCTTCGAAAATATCAGGGTATTCCCTAAACTATTTCACGGAACTTAAAACATGTTAAATTTGATTTATTATTGCTAGTTACTGTCTAAAATTGTTACCAAGGTAAAAAGAACCACAAACATGCTTTCTAATTGGATTTTAAAATAAATAATGCGTACTGGTGATACTAAAATGTTACAGAGTTGCCATGACTTTTAATAAAAAAGGTAACAACTCTGGTTTTCAACGATTCAACAAAATTTTTTACAGCCTCGAGGCTGATGAATTGCTGTAATTTCTGAAAGAAGACTTTGTATGGAACAGCTGATTTGTCAATTTTTATAAGCAATATAATATATATCTTTTTATAGGCCAGAGCTAAAAAATCAAATATGTAGCTTTCTAGCTATGGAATTTAGCTTGTTTCCCTTAACGATACACCAGCCATTATCGGAAGCACTGACAAAACAGCTGACAAAACTAAACGGAAATTTTGAGATATTTTCCGGACTTGATTTTCCGCCATGCAGAAGAAGCCCATCAACGCCAACTCGCTGCTGGACAAGCTGCACCGCGGCGCAGTGTACGCCTGCATCGGCGTGACCCTCTACGGCACCTACATCCTGGGGATGCGCTACTACCACTACTACACGGTCATCCGGCCGGAGAAGCAGCAGGCCGAGCTGAAGCTCCTGGACGAGGGGGCCCACGACAAGGCCAAGGAGCTGAAGTACTAGGACCCACCCGCCCATTAATTGTTAAATGTCTGTTAAGCGCAATAAATTGTAAGGAAATGTAAGCATTTTCAGCCGAAAACGCCGGTTATTTGTTGTGTAACCACGGACACGGCCAGCTGGCCAAAGTTGATGGCTATCCGTGGAGCCGGCGGGCTTGCGAGATTCAAGATCTGGCCCTGGAACCTGGTCCAAGCAGACCAACAATGAGCCATTAGCCGTCTGGGCCGTAAATCAAACCGGTCACAATGGGGAATCAATCAATCGACAGCGCAGACTAGAATTAGCCAAGAATTATAATTTAGCTGGCAATCAAAAGTGTTGTCATCTCCGGATCGTGACCAGAGACCAGGCCCCCGATGGCTTCCGCTTGCCCAACGCCTCCCGCTCCGTCCCTCCTCGCGAGCATTCACCTCCAATGCGCAGGGCATTAATATTAAATGATATGATAGCAAAACAATCGCGGGGAGGAGAAGACAATGGCGGAGCCACCCACTTTTGGCAAGAGATGACGAGACGTCGTCGTCGATTGGGAAAATGAAAATGCCGTTTTCCATGCTTCATTCAACAATGTTGCCTCCGGCGTTGCTTCATTCATGACTTGGGAACACGGCGAATCACAAACTGCAATTGCAAATCTCAATTTGCAATTGCCACTGCGGTCAAGGTCGTCCTTCCCTGTGGCGGTACTGGTACTGGTACTGGCTATGGGTAACCAGACCCCGGCAGACGGAAATGATCGATAGCAGGAGGTTAAAAAAAAAACAAAAAAAGATTCTAATTTGTTACAAAAAAATTTGTTTTTTGACCATAACAATGGAAATATTGATCCAATATGGATTGTCATACCTTTCTGAACTCGTTATTAAATTTCCTAACGATTGGCATTTAAACTTTGACATTTTATTTATTTTTATTTTTTCGCAAAAAATCATGGGGTACCCCCTTATAAAAAAATTAAAAATTGTCGAAAATTTTATTTTTCCAAAATCACACGGAAAGTGTTATGGATTTATTGCAAATTTTGTTATCTTTTCAAAACAGTATGCATTTTTGGTGTAGGACCATTTTTGGCCAAGTTACACCAAAAAAACCGAAAGAAAAAATTCCAATTTTTGTCAAAAACTGAAATCTCGAATTTTGCAAAAAAAAACAAGGCAAAAACTACTGATTTAAAGTATCGATTGTCATACCTTTTTGAACTCGTTATTAAATTTCCTATCGATTGGCATTTAAACCTGGACATTTTATTTGTTTTTAATTTTTCGAAAAAAATCATGGGGTACCCCCTTATAAAAAAATTAAAAATTGACGAAAATTTTATTTTTCCAAAATCACTCGGAAAGTGTTATGGATTTATTGCAAATTTTGTTATCTTTTCAAAATAGTATGTATTTTTGGTGTAGGACCATTTTTGGCCAAGTTACAAAAAAACTAAAAGAAAAAATTCCAATTTTTGTCAAGAACTGAAATCCCGAATTTCCAAAAAAAAAAACAAATCCGGTTTTGTTGCTAAAACAAAGCAAATACTGATTCAAAGTATGGATTGTCATACCTTTCTAAGCTCGTTATTAAATTTCCTAACGATTGGTATTTAAACTTTAACATTTTATTTATTTTTTTTTTTTCGCAAAAAATCATGGGGTACCCCCTTATAAAAAAATTGAAAATTGACGAAATTTGTATTTTTCCAAAATCACATGGAAAGTAACATGGATTTAATTATTATATTCTAATCTGTTCAAAACAGTTTGAATTTTTGGTGTAGGACCATTTTTGGCCAAGTTACAGCAGAAAAACAAAACGAAAAATTCCTACTTTACGAACTGGGCAACAACCTTTGGCCCAATATACCCCTTCACCCAGGGACCTCTGGTCTCCTCGAAAATCGTGCACTTTGGATATTCTTTCGATAAGAGCTTGGAAATGATCTGGCAGAGATCTCAGCTGGGCTGGCGGCTTAATTAAAAATGCCAAAAGGCTGTCAAACGTGCAATTGTTGATAGTTTTGAATATAATGCCTGGCGCATGCATGAGCGATTCCCACGGGGCTTGTGGCATTTTAATATGTTGCCCAGCTTCTGGACAAACTTGGGTAATGCTCCCTTTTGGGCGCTGTAAACCATCCGATCGGCCAGTGAAAGTGTTATGCGATATACAAGACTCCGAACCGGGGACCTGGTGATTGTGGAACGCATTCAAGAGTCTCGTGTTGCATGTGGATTGCATGGGCATTGCCGCCCTACTTCGATTGCCCAATAAGCCTGGGATCTTAGAATTTCGACTGGTATTGCAATTATAACCGATATCGTTAGTTTCCACGCCCACTCCACTCCGCTCCGCTCCGATCCGCCGGATGAGCGGATGGATGACCTTTTGGCTCTCGCAGCATAAACAATATTCGATTTCAAGTCCTCAACCCGTCATGCATTCAATTCAGCTGCAACAATCGCTGCCGCTGCTGCTGCTGCTGCTGCTGCCGCTTCTGCTGTTGTTGTCAGTTTGCATAATTGCAAACTGTAGCAGCAACAATGAGCCATGCCGGGTGACTATAAAAGCGCCGGGCAACTGGCAGCCATCAACAAACCTCGCCTGGCGCCCAACCCATCGAGTCAACTCGCAACCGAGCAATCTCTAGCAATCCAGTAATCCGGCAATCCAGCAACATCTGCAGCAGCAACATGAAGTTCTTGGTAAGCAGCAGCAGCACAAAGGATAAATCCCGTTCAGGAAAAGCGTCGATTAATGGACCTGTATTTTTTTTCAAGTGACAGTTTAAATAACTCTAAAAAAATGTTTTATTTTAGTGTTACATAAATATTTTACGTTTCACATCGTTTTGCTCAAAATACATCCCTATAAAAGGGAATTTAATGTCAGATTTGGATTAAACAAAAATCTTTTATAAACCTTATATTTTTTTCAAGTGACAGTTTCAAAAAGTGATTTATTTTTTTAATGTTACATAAATATTTTATGTTTCCTATCGTTATGCGCAAAATACATATATCCTTATAAAAGGGAGTATAATGTCAGATTTGGATTAAAATAACTTTTTAAGTGATTTATTTGAAGGCTACATAAATATTTTACGTTTCCTATCGTTTTGCGCAAAATATATCCTTATAAAAGAAAATTTAATGTCAGATTTGGATAAAAAAAAAACATTTTATCCCAAAAAACAAAACAATATCCTTAAAAATACGACCATCATATATGGGTTTTGTATTTTTAAAGCAACAATCATCAAGGCAATACTAAACTACAATCTTTTTTTCTCTGTGCAGTGTGTATTCGTCATCCTGGCCATTTGTCTGGTGGGCACCTGGGCAGCAGTTGCGGAACCCGCTCCCGAGGCCCTGGAACCGGAGCCCGAGTCGGCGGCCGTGGATGAGAAGAAGACGGAGAAGAGGGGCATCTACGGATTTGGCCACGGATATGGAGGCTACGGAGGATACGGCGGATACGGACATGGTCACTACGGCGGCTATGGACTGGGCAGCCCCTACTACGGCGGCTACGGATACGTCCATGCGGCGCCCTACTACGGCGGACACCACGGCTACTATCCGTACCACCATGGGCACTACGGCTTCTACTAGGTACACCACCTGTCCATGATCATAATACATACTGTTTTTTTTCTCGATCGCTTCATGCTCATCACCGCACTATCATACATATATATATATTTGTTTTCGTGATCCATTTGCCACAAAATAAATGTTCTGCAAATAGCTTATATAATGACTTTGAATTTTGAGGATCTTATCATATTTAGCTTGGTACAAATTTTTTTAATAAATTATATATTAGCCCATAAATGTGAAGAAATAAATATATATGTGTGTTCATATACATATTGTATATCCATTGAGCATAATTTATCCAAATATAGAAATGAAAATAATAACACAAGTCACAGTAGTTTGTTTTATACTAAGTTTGAGAGAACAATAATATTTTTGGGAGTGAGAAAACTCAGAAAACCTAGAATTTTGGTTACTTTATAAAGCAGTTAATGCATAAAAATAATTGTTATAAAAAGATATATATCCGTTATTAATAAAAGTGACTGGTATACGAAAGTCACTGTTCTTTTCCCACAAAGTGTGACCAATTGAGAGCAAATGTAACATATGTAAGCTCTCTTCGAATAACTGTTTTCTGATCCACGCTTAAAATTGTTTCCAAATAAAGATGCTAAAACGCGATCTACAGAAGATTACGCTAAAGCTGTCCGATCTGAAGGACTACGAGTTTGCCCGGGAGCAGAACAAAGCCAAGAAGGCACAGCGATCCAGGTTGTCCCAGGATGCCCTAGCCGGAGATGATGCCTCCACTTCGGGGACAACGGCCAGTTGCAGTTCCAATACGGGCACGGCAACGGAAACTGCATCGGGATCGGGTTCAGGATCGGGTTCGGGATCGGGATCGGGATCAACATCTGGATCGTACATAACGGGATTGGGACTGGGCTACCGATCGGATACACCCTCCTCGGCATCGTATACCAATACCACGTCGACGACCCCAACTCCGGCCACCCAGGAGGAGATACTGAGACCCTCGTCCGCCGTCACGGCCACCACCACCACGGGCACCACCAATTCCGGGTCCACGGATGACGTGAGCGTGGCGGCCGTGGTGGATGATACGGATACCATTGACGAGATCAGCGACGACAACTGGGTGGATCTGAATGCGGACACCAACGATACCGTCGATACCCACGAGGTGGAGGAGGAGGAGGAGGACGGGGCCAGGGGAGGCATCTAGGAATCGCCAGGAATTCCGGAAATCCATTATGCAAACATAAAGCAGCTGCAACTGAAGCACCCCTTATCATTCCATTTATCTACTTATTTTCTATTATAATAATAACCTATTGCATGCTCCATTTGCTTACGTATGAATGCATTTTTATTTTTTCTGCTCTTACGTGTGCATTATTATAAGTATATTTTGATAGATTGAAATGGTTATGCTTACCTACAAATAATAAGCAGAATCCTATTAAATTATTGCATAAACAAGAGGGGAGCTTAGCGGATCAAATAATTAGTTGCATGGACAAAACTTTTCTGGGAAGCGGCAATTTTAATTGCCGCTGCCGTTTGCCCTTTTAATGAGGAGAAAATACGTTCGGATTACAGCCAGTTTCAGTCCAGCTGGATGCAGTCCCTAATTGGACAGCCTCACAAGGAGCTTAACAGCCGGGGGCTCTGATATGAAATGGCGATTCAACAAGTGGCTTATGAATGACTAATGACCGATGACCCCTGACCTTATGGTTACCTTATGCCGGTGCAACAAGTGGTTGGTGAGTCCAAAACACATGTTATCCCTGCAACGTGACTAGAGCCCCAAAAAAAAAAGAAAGGAAGGATGGGGGAAAGCTCCTCGGAAAAGCTGAAAAGCTCTCGGGCATCGGCGCTATTTTATTTCAAAATCAAGCCAAAAGCACAGCTCCCGCGGCCAGAATGTTTCGAGGCGGCAGGCTGGCCTGGCCAAAAACGGTGAGTTCAAATTCCTGCGGTTCGGCAGCTCGGCTGTTCGACAGTCCGACGGTTCGACTGTCCGGCCAAAGCGGTTAACGGACAGCGGATGGATACGGACACGGACACGGGTCGCGATTGCCAATTAATCACGCGACACAGTTCGATTCCTTTGCGGTCTAAGTGTTCTTCTTCGTATTTGTCTTCGAGTTTCTATCTCCATTCCCATTCCCGTTCCTATCCGTATCCAAATCCGCATCGGTGTCCGTGACCCAAGGATCGACCGGTCGCATCACGTGCCACGTGCCGGTTCATCGAAAAGTGCAAGGGTAAGTGGCCAAGTGCACAGCGATGGGAAGTGCCCATACGTCCAGTGTTTTATTTTTGAGCCAGACATAATAAATACCCCTTGAAATAACTTTACCTTTTACTATATGTATGTTTAAAAGCGACCCAAAAATAGCTAGGAAATCTACGAAAAATAATGAATAAATGTTTGTAAGTTTTTAGTTTATTCTAATTGTAAATTGAGTTTTAGGTTTAGATTTGTTTGGATATATTACACAAAATCTACCCAAAAAAAAAATGGGCTTTAAAATATCGTTTAAATGAAAACCTCTAACCTTTAGCCTTTGTTACCTTTGTTTTCCCGGATATAGTACTTTTTCGCCATTCGCTACCACAAAGTTTCCACAGCAAATGGGAAACCCTAGGGGTTACTCATAAAATGTAGTCCTTTTCGGTATGCTTTTTCCATAATCCCAGAGCCTAGTGCCGCAACTATACGTAGTGAAAAAAAGAGGCCCTTTCTCGCCATCACTGCATATGCATAACACATTCTAACCGACTGAGAACGTGACGCCGGGGGGCGAACTCAGGTGCATTGATATAACCACCTGTCACACACACACTCGCGGCACGTGCATCGCAGGGAAAGCGAGTGAAAGTGGAAAGTACAGTGACAACAGCCAGGAAGATAGCTTGTGAAAGTTCCACGGATGCTGTGACAGCTCCTTTGATCGTTCCAAATATATATGTAAGATATATGCAGGCAGGTAGAGTCCAGGATTCCCATATCCCATTTCCCTTCCCCCCGCCGATGTTTTAAGTGTAAACTCTGCTGTTTTCGCTCGAGAGCGCATGCCTTTCATTAGTCCGTGCATAATTAGCGAGGGCTCACACGGGAAATGCCACTGTGGCGGTCGCAAAATTAGTACTTGAAGGATATATTTCGGGCTAATGATATGTATTGTAAAAGAAAAATAGGAAATAAAAAATAATGTACCAAGAAATATATGTGTAAACTTTTAAAACTTATTGCTATTATTAAATTAAGTAAATATAAATTTATTATAAAATGATCTGTTTAAATATATTTAGAAATACCTACTACAAAACAACTCCTAAATCTATTCGGATTTGCTTCAAGTTTAATTTGTGGAGAATTTATAGAGATTTGATAGAAATTTTGGAAAAACACCATACCAATTTAATGATTTCAGGAAGGACTATCAAGTTCTGGGGTTCCCCCATATATTTAAACAGATCATTTTATAATAAATTTATATTTATTTAATTTAATATTTATGGCTCCTAGCCAAATGGACTCTGCTGTACGCTTGACCCCCTGCCAAAAGGCTCAGAGTGTTGCATTGCTTGTTTGCCCGTGTGTGCCTGTGCATATCTGATTGTTGCAACCGAAACAGGATGGGATGATGGAGGAGGAGGGCGAATCAACAGGTGGCTGTGGCAAGTCCCGCCCCTTGGATCGACTTTCGTCCTGCCCAGCGCTGCAATATTAATGCGGCCCAGCGCTTCTGACGAGTGCATGTTAAATAGAAGGCGGCGGCAGAGCAAACGACCTGCCCAGATACTAGCTATACTATATAGATATATATATATGTATGGCCTGGGCCCTCCCCCTTTTTTGGCCCCCCTTCTCAGCACTTTTCGCGGCCTTTGCTCTTGGCATTTGCCTGGTTAAAAACCAGTTCTTATAGGGCTTATAAAGCAGGGAAATGGAAAATGGCAATGCGGCATGTTTCGTGGAAAAAAAAACAAGAAAGAAAATTGTGGAAAAAAGTGAAATAACAAAATGGCCGATGCAGACAATTTGCCGCTGATTGCCGAATGTCAATCTTGTTTTGTCAGCTAATTTGCATGCATATTCTCGAGCCGGTACATTATGCCATTTGCCATTTGCCATTGGCCCGCTTTGAGCTTTCCCTGGCAGCTCAATTTTCCGGCTTTTCGCCTGTCTGACGTTGACGTGCAGCGAAGATTCCAGCCCAGAAGTTTCCTTGGCCGTCAGCTGCAATTAAATCAATAGTTGGTGCTACCAACTAGCAAGTAGTTGGCCTATAAAGGGCTCTCGGAATAGATAGGAAAATCGTTACGATCAAAAAAGTTGAGTAAAGTTAATCTTAAGACTAAACTAAAAATTGTAGAAAATTTCAAGATTTTTAAACCATATTTTACACATTATACTGGATAACGAATTGTTTTGTAATTATGTACTCTACTAAAGCGGTCGGCACACACGTACAATAACATTTTGTTTAATATTTGTATGAGTAAATTGCACTGGGCAGATCATCAGAGTAAGTGTGCAGACCGCTGTTCTACGTTATACGTGTGCGAGCAGCGCGCCGGCATAACAAAACCCTATGCTCACTTAATAGGGCGCTGCCGACCGCTGCTCTACTTTAAAGAACCCCAACATTACCAACCTTGTGAACTGAAAACCTTTTCCCTTTTTTGGCCTATAATATGATCAGATAGTTCCATCTCGGTGTGCAGTGATAAACCGATGACGCCAGTTGGGATCGAGTTCCGTTTGGGATTGGGAAAAGGCAAGTGAATGCACCTATTAAAGTAGAATAAGCAAAAGGTGTTTGACACCGATAAGACGCGACTGTCCGGGGATCATTGTCCACGGATCACTAGATCAGCGGATCCGGGGATTGGAGAGGTGGGACTAAGCATAACTAGCGCCATGGAATATTTTACACAGTCACAGAGAAAAAGAGAGAGAACGAGATTCGGCTAGGTATTTATTTGGCTATGGATCGGATCGGTGAGCTATTGACCGAGATTCGTGTAGGTCCCGAGGCTTATCGCTTGTCGCTGTTGCTGTCGTCTTGAGTACACAACAACAGCGATCCGCAATCCGTATTTTCGGGCACTCCGCTGGAGATTACGAGTAACATCCAATAATGAGAAAAACAACAACAGATAGAGGCAACGGAATCGACTGGAACTGGGAACTGTAAATGTAATGGATCCATAGCTCTGCCTCTGGAGGGGTAAAAATAGTTGGGTTTATAAATAGCATCGGCGATTCCAGGAGCGGACTTAGGAGAATCGACTTCGCAGCTCCGCCAGCTTGGAGGCCACATGTTCCCAAATGCAGGTGGGCACAGAAGTCTCCTCGATCTGCGGCGGCGGAGGAGAGATCCCGGACCACGACTCCCAACCCTGGGCAATGGAGGTTCCGAAGGCGATCTTGGACAGAACATATAGGGTGTGAAGCACAGAGATCGCGATGACCGCGTTCTTCACGAAGAACCCAAGCGATCGAGGGTTCGGTGGATGTGGGTCCTCAGTGGACGATGGTATAGCCTCCGGGGCGAAATCTTCATCGGAACCAGCGCCCCTTTCCACAAACCTGGGAACATCTGGTTCATCCGTTCCAGTTCCCATTTCCACCATCAGGGGAAGGGAGCAAAAGGTAACTCCGAACTCAGATGGTATTGTATCCTCAGAATTGGGTTGTTCTGATATCATCATGATATCAGGAGAAGGCAATGGTTCTGCCTTGAGATCCTCCTCCTTAGGAACTTCCTCCTCGGAAACTTCTAGCTGCGGCTCCTCGCCATCTGTTGTCTGACTACCGAGGGTTACGAGCAGCTTGCCACTGTGGACACTGCGGTCGAGTTCCACATCCTTGGTCTCCAGCAAGTCAAAATAAAAGCTCGGCGGCGGTGTCTCATCCTCCAGCATGGGCAGATCCAAGGACATGATCCACTGGAAGAGCTGGACAGGATCGCTGGGCATGCGAAAGTTGTAGCTCCACGACTTTCCGAATGATTCTTCGTGCATTCCAAAGATGGACCTGCGCCAGTTGTATTGGTCATCCAGTTGAGAGAGCTCCATTGCTAAGAAATATACTGTCAGAGGAGAAAGAAAGGTGATATTTTTAGGGAGTAAAAAAAAAGGATAAGCAAAAACCGAACCTGCACTCTCCGTATTGAATGAAATATTTCCAATTTACCCACTGACTGATGAGTTTGTGATGCCTGACAGTTGGCACCTGGGTATTTAGATTCCTGTTCGGGCGCCACTTCGCTCCTTGCAGCAAGTTGAGCCTTCAGTAGCGCTCCATTTCATCTGCCCCGGACTCCACTATCTTATCAACTGGAAATGGGGCGTGGCATGGCCACCCTCGGACTCACTATGCGGAATTGATTCCCATTCCCAATCCCATACCCGTATACCCGTTCCCTTTCCCGTTCCTGTTTATAGAAATAGAAATAGAATAGTCCGCTTCGCAGCGAGGGCGTTATCAATGGCCTGGTATAATCGGTTATCAATATTGTCGCATTACGACAATCAAAAACGAGCAGAGGGAAAAGGGGTTTCGGGGGGTACTATATGTACGTATATAGGATCACGGGTTGGTCGACCAATTCATCTTGGGTGGTGGTCAACCAACCTGTGACCGATTGCCCTCAGTCTAGTCTTGGGGTCTTGTGCTTATTTTTAGCATTAAAAGTCACTATTTGCCCAGCAAATTATGCGATCAGTGCGAATGTTGGTCAATGGAAACTATGGCTTGTCTGTGGTGCTCCTCGGACTGGGGAATCCCGTGAGTGGGGGGAAAGTTGAATATTCCGCTCCATTTAATGCGCATAGAGTATTAACCGTTCGCTGTGGGCCATAAAGAACTCGTCTTATCGCTGACCTTGATTTTTCACTACTTTTTTGAGAAGGTGAGTTCATTCGGTATTTTATGTCAACTGCAATAAATTGCATTCTACAGGATTGATCAAAAAGACAAACAATATGAGTTAAATGGGAAATTAAAAGGTTAAAATTTAAACAAGAAACATATAACAAGTTGGGTTTGTTCCACTGTGCCTTACACTTCTCCCACGGATACAATTTGGAACACACTCTAAAATCTTGTATTATTTGATTTGGTTTTTAAAATATATTGTATTTTTTTGGTAAACAATTTTACCAACCAAATAATAATACTTTCGAATGATGAGTAGAAACTTTAAATAACTGCTTCCGATAGAGTATCATAACGCCCTGCATGGTCTAAGTAGTCTGTTGTATACAATTTGTTATGATTGTATTTTCTTTTTATGGCCGTTGTGATTTCGTTTTACGCACAGTTCAACTCGAGCAAATTTGTTAATTAATATTTAACACTAAGCCCAGAAAGGCGTAAGCATTCAACCCCCCTCCCCAGGTCCACCGCCGAAAACCCGTGTTATTTGCCTATGGACAACAATTGGAAGCAGACAAAAAGAAGAAAACCTGTACAAAAAATTATAAACTGATAAGGTTTCTATAATTCGAAGCGGATTGAGTCCGATCACTTGGTAGCTGGTAGCTGGTAGCTCTCCCGGTCCCAGAGTTCTCTCTATAAGTAATACCCTCCATTCCATATGGCTGACCACTGATAAGGGTCCCAAGAAGAGCGAGAGCGGTGCGAGAAGCCCGGAGAAGAGAAAGAGAGAGGGAGAGTGAGTGTTTTTCAGTGTTTGCTTTTTCTTTGCCGCCGTTCCGTTCCTTCTTCTGCTCGGTCTGCTCGGCATTTTGCTCTTACACAGTTCGCATTTAATTTTATTTGGTCGCCTGCTAACAGCGACATCGGTTGCGTCTCGCCAAAAAATAATATCACGCTCCCGGAATTTAGAAGTAAATAAAAGAAAAGTGACAAGCCGTAGTCCGTGCTCAAGCTGTGCTACTAATCAACCGTTCAGTGTGGCCAAATCCTCATAGGCCGCAAGGACCCCCGTCGAGTGTGGCCAGTTGCCAAGGACCTCTTACGTTAGCTGCCATAACAAAAGCATTAAACCGCGATACGATCAGTCGGCCAATCGATTCCATTCAGTTTTATTGAACACTCAACGCCCCGTGCAATCCATAATCTCAACGATTGGACAATTGCAACTGTAACGTGAAGAACACAAATTGTCAACAAAGTCGTAAAAATATTCGCACACTCTGGCAATAAAGTAAATGAAACAATAAAACAAATAGGGCAAAAGCAGCTAATTGATTGCCAAATAGGAGTAAAGGTAAGTCGGCTGGATCAGATAAGGATAAGTGGGATTAGGATTTAATGCTCCGCGTTGGAATTATCACATCTGAACTGATCTGATCGGATCATCTCTCTGTTTTCTGTGTCTGTTTCCCCCGAAAAGCAAAGTGCAATCGCCCTGGAGAGCAAAACAAAAACGGAGAACCATCCAAATATCGAGAATGCACTTTTCTTCGAAACTATTTTTAAACGGATTTGCTTCTTTATTTTCGGCTTTTTCGGTTTTTGTTGTCTGTTGTCTGGTTATCTGGTGTGTGGTGTGCCTATAGACATAGAACGTGGGAGAGAAAAAGCGCAGAAAGTGCATTCGTTTATCGCTTAACAGGTGGCCGTGATCGATATTGATAGCTCCCGATATTGATATTGACTAAATGCGAAGGTTTAGAGCCGTGTTGACAAGATCGTTGAGAAAGATTGATCGGGATCAGGGCGAAAAGTGGGAAGATTAAATGGAGGTGTACGTGAGTGCATGAATTATAAATATGAGGCAAGGGATGGGCATCGAAGTGTAGTGAAATATTTTAGTTATTTTGCAATAATTAAATAGCAACTCCTGAATTGTATACCTTTGACGAAACCCAATAAAGAAGGTGGAAACCCTTCTCTCTTCCCCTTGAAATCCGGTTAGTGGGTCAGTATCTTTCCCTGACCAGGTTCAACAGCCTGGTAGTCAGGTGGATCTGATTAATGGGAGGTCGATTCCCACTGGGAAGTGAGCACAAAGTAAGTCCAAGGCCGAGGCAATTAAAAATCCGTGACCGCAAAAGCTGAAATTCATTTAGTGCCAAGCAAAGTGAATTAATTTCATTTTCATAATAAACAAAGTGCGAATGACCGATGCACAACGGTTTTTCCAGCTGAGATGCAGTTTGAACCGGGCAAGGATAACCGGGCCGTAAATCTGAGGAGACAAAGCCCGCTGGGAGTGTAATTAAGCCATCCTCGTAATTCTCATAATTAAAGAGTCGAGAACTGGCAGAGGATGATGCGGTTCAGTTCATATAGAGGGGGTGAATAATTTGCATGTCACATGCAAGCGTTCTCTATCGCTTCTTTTTTATTTGGCAACTCGCATTTGTTTGTTTTGCTGCTGGTGGTTCAACGACACTTGCTAGCCACCCAAAACACCCCCAGAAAAAGAACAATAACAGAAACCACACACTAGAAAAAAATGGGATTACTTTAAGAGCTTAATAAAATTTTTATTTATTTAATAAATTTATAATATTGCCTAAAAATATATATTAAACCCATGAAACATATAGAAATAATTATGATAATTTATTAATTGAAATTTCAACATTTCTCTCAGTGCACTCACGTAATCGAACAGTTCGTGTTGCTCTTGCTTTCTTGGTTGCTGATATTGCATTTTGCTTACTGCGCACATTTGGTCACATTTTTGGGGCTATCACTCGGCTTTCACACTCATAATGCATAATGGCTACATGGGTGCATGGGTGTGGGTATGGGTATGGGTCAAGGGCAAAGTCTCCTCCCAGTGGCCCCCATCCGATGGCCGAGTGACTGAGTGCATCCAGTCCGAGTGCTATCGCTTTTTCGCTTTCGAGGAGGGGTACTGATGTCGCTGCCAGGCGAAAGTGCAAGATAAACAAGTGGAGGGGGCAGTGGAATAGTAGAATCGAGCAGTAATTACCCGATTACGATCCAGTTAGCAACCGGTTAAAAACATACTTTTATTTCAGGAATTTAAGCAACTCAGTTGAATATATAGGCAAGGATCATTTCATTTTAATATTTTTTTAATGAATAATAATTGAAACTATAAAGCTAACGGTAATCACAAAAACTCAAATAAATTAATACCTCATAATAATAAAATACTTTATTATGAGTAATTAAATAAAATGTTATCACAAATAACTCATCCCTCAGATAATGTAAAAGATTAAATATTCCTAAACCTATTAAATAGTGCTTTCTATCCTTTAATTAAGCAGATGAGTGGCGGTCAAGTGGGTTGATTTTCCATAATTTGTAAACTCCGCAAAGACATCCAAATTTGCTTTGGTCAATCCCGCCAACGTTGCGTATGCGCAATCTCTTTGTCGGCAATCAGATGAAACGTTTTTGGCACGAAACTCTGAATGTCACGGTGATAATGTGTATATGTGATAATGTTGAATGCCGAATTTCTTAAAATTCTATTCTGGAGGTAGGAGCCATTTTATAGGCTCTAATTCTGCGTTGATTTGATTTGTTTTGTTTTAATTGCCTTTGATTGCACAAAAGAGCGACGCCGACGGATGAATCATGCCATCCGCAATCCGCATAAGTTGGAGATGCTGGGGATGCGTTTCCTGTTGACTTATAGCTAGCACTATTTAGTATAGTGAAACGCCCCCCTCTGCCGACGACCATGCCTCGATTGTTCGCCTCTAATCAATTTTAGGTTGAGTTTTAGCTTTTGTTCATGCCTGGCTCTCATTGTAATGTGTGTGCATATCAAGTGCCTGCTGATATGGCTTTGGAAAAAGTGAAATAGCATTTGTTTTTGTTCGGTCTGGGGGGAAATTCCGCCCCTTCCCCTTTTTCCACATCATCTGCTTTATCACGTCACAATTATCTTGCGGCATTGTTGCAACTTTTGCGCTTTGTTTTCAGTCGACAGAAACGCAGCAATAACAACGATGATTGAGCAGGCAGCATTTCTGGAGATACATTTGCTTATAGGTTATATGTGCATATAGAATATATTCTATATTCTATAGTCTGTGTTCGATATGCCGTATCTATTTGTGGGCTGCAGCCGAAGAGTCGAGAACAAAACAGAACGGCGCAAAATAATCGAAAGTAATTCACACTTTGGTCATTGATTAGAGTCGTCTGTATACTAAGTATACTGAAAAGAATGTTGGTAGTATATTACCAATTAATTCTTTAATAGTTCGCGAACTCTTTGCCGCATAAACGAAAGACTTTCCGTGCTGATTGCTGGGGGTCCGAATAGCGAATCTTCCATAGTCTACAGCCTGTAGTCGGGTGTTTTTCTGAGCTTGGCCTGATAAGCCGAGTGCTGAAATACTATATATAGTATAATGATACTTCACCTTTCTCCTCTCACCGCTTCTTGTTTATACGATCGGCGGACAATGGAAATCGGAGAGGAGTAGGAATCGTAATAGGAATTGCCAAATAACGCTGCTGATAGAGAGGGGCGGACTGGGTGGGCGGGGTCAGGAGGTCAAGAGGTCAAGAGGTCACTGGCAGCCTGATAACCGCTTTAATTTGGTTTGATTCGCCTGTGTAATAATATATTATTTCAATAAGTTCAAGGGATTGCTAAAATATTTCCACAAAGTCTATTATTAGGTTGAAGCATTTAAACTATATTTGCTTTGGAAAAATAAAATCTGTTTTGGTTGTTTTCAGCCGGTTCAATGTATTTCGGTTGAACTCGCCTGATAATCGGGGCAGACACACCAACAACACAGCGACAACATCCTCTTCATCACGTGTTTTCAATATTTTAAAGCTGGGCGGGGCATTAATTAATTGACTTTCCTCACAAGACTACATGTATTCTAATTGCTCACCGAATCCCTTTCGTTTCAGTTGGCGCAACATGAGCCGCTGGCTTTAAGGAGACCATCCAGCAGCAGCAGGTGCAACATTCAGCAGAAAGGAGAGGAGCAGGACCAGGTTCATTTGGGAACAGGAAACAGGGAACAGGAGCAATAAGCCCAGGGCGATACCAACAAAATGGTTCACGGACCACCGGCTCGCAGAAAATCGCAGCAGCAGCATGAACATGAGCATGAGCAGACCTGCGAAATGGATCTCGAACGACAGCCAACTCCACCGGATGGAGGATGGGGATGGGTGGTCGTCTTTGGCTCCTTCATGATACACATAGTCAGTAAGTGAAAGTCTTTCCCCAGCCAGTCGGGTAGTAAAAGTGCAAAGTGGGGAGTATGTAATCTAACCTGAAGAGGAAACAGTAAAAGATCTTAGTTATATTAACCACTGATTGAGAAATTCACTGATAGGATGTTATTATTATATTATATTTCCTTATAACAGGAGTTATTTGAGCCAGTCGGGGAGTTAAAGTGGAATACAGGTTGTATGTAATCCAACCTGATGAGAAAACAGTTAAAGATCCTATCCGTTGTTCCGGTTAAATTAACCACTGATTAAGATTATTATTCTTTTATTAAAATTTCCTTAAAACGGGAGTTATTTGAGCCAGTCTGGGAGTAAAAGTGGATCATAGGTTGTATCTAATCCAACCTGATGAGAAAACAGTTAAAGATCCTATCCGTTGTTCCGGTTATATTAACCACTGATTGAGAAATTCACCGATAGTTTATTATTATTTTATTAAAATTTCCTTTTAACAGGGGTTATTTGAGGGGTATTCCCCAGTCGCTAGCCCGTTAGCCCGTTTTGAGTTTCAATTAGGCACATCGGTGGACCCGTGGAGCTTTTCGCCCGGGGAGGAGGACTTGACCAACTGGTGTTGGGTAACTGAAAACAGGGAATGGGAGAGGGAAACTCATGCCTTTACGGCTGCCATAAATCAAACCCAGCCAAACCAGCCTTGGACTGACCTGGCAACCGAAGTGGCCGAATACTCTTGATTATTCGAGTATTTCATGGATTTTTTTTTTGGGGATCGTAAATACTTTAAGCACACCTCTAGCCTAATCGTCGGAAATCAGAGTGTTTTGTGTTCAGCCGGGATAGATTGGGAGTGGGACTTATCAGGCTTGGACCTTGCCGATATCACTATCCGATATGGCCGATAGGGGGCTGATTTACGAGGGGGGAGGGAGTGTGTAGATCTAGATTAACCGGAGGTGGAGGTGGAGTACAGTCGCCACTTGAGCCGTACAACTGTCAATTGGATGATAATTGTGGCCAAGTGTCCAGTCGGTGGGCAATCTTATCACCGCTTACCGCCTGTAATTGCCCGGCCACGGAAATAGTTTGGCGATCCTGATAAAATTGGGAGCCGTAATTAATTGCCAACTAAACTGATTTATGGCCTGTCAGAAAGAGCCGGGCGCTTGGTAACCAGTTTGATCGAACGAGAACCGCTTTGAATGGGAATTTTAGGGGTCTACTTTCAGGGATCCCTTCTAATCTTCCTTTTTTCCCACAGCCGATGGCATGACCTACTCCTTTGGCATCTTCTACAATGAGTTCCTGGACTATTTCAACGAGGGCAAGGGTTATACGGCTTGGATTGCCTCTATAATGGTGGGCGTGACCTTCTCTTCAGGTAAGTGGAAAACATATATGGCCAGCAGAAGTATTACTGCGTACGTGAGCGTCGAAACATCGCAGCGGTAGAGAAACTGACTATCCCGTGTGCGCTGCCTCTGCTGCCACCACTGATTTGGTAAATAGGTTTATATAAAATAATATGTGATCTATATAGGACCCATTTCATCGTCCTTTGTGAACCGATATGGCTGTCGGGCGGTGACCATTGCGGGTGCCATCCTGGCCGCCAGTTGCATCATCGTGAGCATGTTCGCCCAGAATGTCCTCACGCTGATCATCACGATTGGCTTTGGAACCGGCCTGGGCTTCGGCCTCATCTACCTGCCGGCCATTGTGAGTGTGACGCAGTACTTCGAGGCGAAGAGATCCCTGGCCACGGGCATCGCAGTCTGCGGCTCCGGATTCGGAACCTTTGTCTTTGCCCCGCTCACCGAGTACCTGATTGGCAACTATGGGTGGCGCGGAGCGATGCTGATCATCGGTGGCATCGTGCTCAACTGCATCATCTTCGGTGCGATGTTCCGTCCCTTGGAATTGGGGCCATCGCCGGCAGCACAGACGCCCCCCAATACGCCCAGCACTCCCAAGCTGGGCAAGAAGTCGGCCATTATCGATGGAAATACCACGCCGGCGGAACTGGAGCCCCTGAAGATTCTGCCCAAGGATCAGTACCTGCAGTTGCCCCCAGTTTCGGGAGGAGGAGGAGGAGGTGCCCTCTGCCGATCCAACAGTGTGGGTCACAACCTCAAGCCCAGTTTGGTAAGAGAGTCTAGATTTGGCCCTTGAAGATCCATTTATTAATGTATGTAAATTGTGATAGAACAACAATTCGAATGGCGCCGTCAATGGGCAGGGAGTGCCCACTTTGGTCACGCCACCGCAGGCGGTGGTTAAGAGCACCAGCAACGATGACATCGCCAGGAAGTGTCACAGCCAACTGCAGCTGACTCCGCTGCGGGACGCCCATCGGGAGCGGAGTGCCAGTGGCACCATGTACCGCCCAGATGCCCTCTACCAGGTGTGTGTGCTGGATATTTGTCCAGGTGTCCAGATGGAATGTAGTTTATTTCTCGTGTCCGCAGGGTTCGCTGCACAATCTGCCCGACTATGTGAGCTCCAGGAACGACCTGAACCGCTCGATGTCCGGATCGGGAGTCATCAAGCGGTACGGTTCGCTGCGCCAGAGCAACAATGTGTCACAGAGTCAGGTGAGTCTGGGGGAATACAAGTAAACCAGATTATATTTGTAGTATAGATTTGCTAGAACATGATATAGTATTCTTGAGTAGACTGCTTTCCTATATAAGACTGGTTATACTCTAGATTAGCAGACTCACCCCCGAAATTCGCAAAAAATTATCCTCAATGGACAGCGATTAAAATTATTTTATACATTTTTTTAAAACAATTTATGAACATTGGAAATTATGGTCAAAATATGGAATGTCATACCTCGTTGAGCATGTAATAAAACTCCCAATCAACGGATTTTTTTTGCGAATTTGGGGGATGAGTTCGCTAATCTAGAGAATTACCATAAGACTTACCAAAAGTGTTCCTTGTATATAGATAGCTCGTATATTTAAGCATCCTCGTTGTAAGTTCTTATAAAGTGGCCTTGAAAATCAATACTTCTTTGGTTTGAATGGGTAAAACGACAACAACACGTGTTCCTTGTGGTTTTTATGAAATATAAGCTTTATGGAATAAATGACATATTGTTACTTTCAAAGATAAATATTAATTTTAGGAAGACTACTTTGTTTTCAGAAGCTTCATTGTAAGACTCACCATATGGTTAGCACCTTGTTGTATTCAAGCAAATCCCTTAGTGTGTTTCCAGGTGAAACAATTAAATGTAGAAAAATATATAAGTGGTGAAAACGGCTCCCTGGTCACATGGCTTCTCAAGCCGAGGCTTTGGAAAGGTAATCGAAAAAAGTGTCTTAGTTATGATGGGGCAATGAGTAGCGGGTCCACTTGCAGTCCTTGGGTCTGGGGTGAAAGAAGGGGAGCTTCCGGTACGAGTGGTCCTCCAGCAAAAAGGAGCGCACCTCGGCTAGCATATCTTTGATCCAGCCCTGCCAGGAGTAGTCGACCCTACGACACGCAAAGGTCTGCTCGTGGACCTCGTAGGTGAGCATGACCAAATGGATGACGGTCACCACCGTAAGGCAGCTGCCCAGGACTAACAGAAAATCATCGCTGGGCCACAAAAGCCACTGGATCGGGCGAAGAGTCTCGCGAATGGCCAGCATCCAGAAGGGCGTGTTCTCAACCTCCCAACGGACCGCAGGAATTTCAATGGGCTCCCGCCTGTTGAACTCCCACACCCACTGCTCCATATCAATCCTACCTTCATGGCCATCGTCCTCCTCCTCCTCCTCCTCCTCCTCTGTTTCGTCCTCTTCTTCGTCATTATCAATATCCATATTTTGCTCTTCATCTGTATCAATCTCGACAAATTCATCTAAATGATCTTCAAAGTATTCATATTCCTCCTCAACCTCCTCAGCATCATCATCATCAACATCTTCTTCAACTTCCGAAACTTCCGAAACTTCTTCTTCTACTTGAACTTCCTCCAAATCTTCAGCTTCCTCATTCTCATCCCAGCGAACGACTGGATTGTCATCCTGGGGAATGAGAGCATTCTCATCCCCGCCAATGGGCGCATCCTCCTCCTGGTAAATGGCCGCCATCTCTTCCCCGCCAATGGGTGCATAATCGTTATCCATGATATTCATTATATTATTATTCACGCTTTAATTTCAACTTAGGTTAGCAAAAAATCAAAAATTATAACAAAAGGTAAAGTTAGTATAATTTTAGTCGAGACTGAGCGGTTACAACTTCGTTGTGCTATTTCTTAGCAGACTTTAGATTCAACTCGCCTTAGTTTACCAAAAACACAGGAATTATATAGAAAATAAAAATAGTTAAAAGGTAGTGAAGCTACAATACAACTTCGTTTGTTATTCCAAGCTGACATCAAATTCAACTCTACTTAAGTTACCAAAAAAAAAAAAACAAATTATAACAACTAGAAAATCAGAGGGCACTAATCTAGAAGAACTGCGACAAGTAGCTCCTCCAAATCCAGAGGATGAGCTTGTAGAGCAGGAAGAGGCGGAACAGCCGGTAGAGGAAGACCTTACTGAAAGAGGGATTTTAGTTTAAAGTAACCAATATTATAGCGGGTACCCACGTTCGCAAGATAATCTTGGAGCGGCCCAGAGTTTTTGGATCCTCGCGTAGCAAATGCGTTCGGATGCTGAGGAGCATTTCGCCGCAGGATTGGATGATCAGTCCATGGATGTCCGGGTGCTTGAAGGCGTCCAAGTTAAAGGGGGTGCTGGGTTCCAGAGGTTTAAAGTTCAGAGATGAAAGAAGTGATAAAAGACTCTAATCCGCTTACCCGGCGTTCTCCTCGGACAGCAGCTCCATGTCCGTGACCCCGGGACTGTCGTAGTTGTTGAACATGAAGGGCTGCATCACCTCCAGCGTCTGGTAGGCCTTCCGCACGGCACTCATGAGCACGGGCTTCTGTCCGAAGGTCCTCAGCAGCAGGTCGATGATCATGGCCGGCAGGATCTGCTTGGTGAAGACCAGCAGCTGGTAGACCCACCGCCTGTCCGTGTAGTGACAGCCCGGTATCATCAGGTTCTTCCCGAAGGCCACGTCGCGCCACAGGTCCAGCGTGTCCATCTGCTCGGCAATCTGGGTGAAGGTGTGCGGCACATGGGTGCAGGATGAGGATAAATAGACGGGCAGCTCCGCCGGCGGACCTTTCTGGTAGATCTCGGCTCCCCGCTTCGTGTAGCAGAGCATGCTCTTGATCCCAATGTCCTGCGGCGTGATGTCCAGCCGGATGTCCCTGCCCAGGTAAACGGTCTTCAGAATCCCGGCGCCCACCAAGGCGAACAGACCCATGGCGCCCATCAGTGAGGGCGAAAACCCAGGCGAAGGGTCGTCCACCGCAAAGAGAACTGGGTAAGGGGAATCGAGATATAGTTTGGAATTACTGGATTACTGGATTACCTATGGATGGACGGTAGACTATCAGCGGCAGGCGATGGCGGTAGTCGTTCACCAGGGACTCGGCCAGGTTCTTGGTGAATGTGTACGTGTTCGGGAAGCCCACAATCAGCCTAAGGATGGCCAAAGGATATAGCATAGCATCCATGAAAAGGAAGACTTACTTTCTTGTGAGCGCATTGAGCATCCCGTCGTCTGGAACCTCCTCAAGCAGTCGCAGGCACAGTCGCCAGTCCATCGGCGAGGAGTAGTACTGCAAGGATCAGAGAAAAGGAATCAAACAGGTAACCAGGTCGCCCCAACCCACCTTGGGCTCCACCCGCTGCAAGTAGGGATTGCTGTAGAAGGTGGACACATGGACGAAGGCCCGCAGCTGCGGCAGACTCTCGGCGAACCTGAGGGCCTCCAGGGTGCCGCCGACATTCAGGCGGAGTGCCACCCGCAGTGGCTCATCGAAGCGAACGGTGGCGGCGCAGTGGTAGACCAGCGAAACCCCCCGCATTTGCTCCACCATCGCGGGATGGATGCCCAGTCCCGGCAGGGAGACATCCCCGGGCACCGCCACTATCTTGTCCAGTTCCTGCGGCTTCTCCACGGCCAGGACATGGAAGACGGTCGCCTGGCGCAGGCGGAGGAGCCGCTCCTCCGCCGAGAGCTGCCGGCGAGGACGCAGCAGGATGTAGATGCGGCGCACATTGCAGGAGCGCAGGAGCTTCTCGATCAGCGCCTTGCCCACCACTCCCGAGCCGCCGGTCACGAATATCTCGCTGTCTTTGAAGAACTCCTCCATTGGACTGGGTGACTGGATGGTGATCCACTGCCCAGAGCAGCCCGCTAAGCACTGCCAGCCGGCTGCGTTGGTGAATCCGCTTAACTGAACGTGGACACACGCATATTCATTACCGCCCTCATTTGCTTAACATGAGCATTGCATTTCCATGCTAATTTCGGGCTCAATTCGGCTGGGGATTAATGGGGAGGAGGCGGTTGACAGTGACCCTCGTCTGGGTGATCCCGAAACTTATATTTGGGCTACCTCAAAGGGGGTAACATTGGCCCATTTCTAATTCATAGTCATGTTATAGAGAGGTCTAAGGTCTACCAGTTCTTCTCTTCTTATGAAATGTCTTATTTCTTATCTAATAATATAGAACTTTATGATATTATTATTTATTTTTATTTATTATTATTATACTAGCACAGCAACTTTACACTTATATTTGTAGCACTAGTCACATTGAATTTGAACTACTACTTATTACTAACAATTTTGAACTAGACATATGTTACTTTTATTATTTTCATATATTATTACGTTGGGATTGATTAATATTTTATGATAATTATTATTATTTTGACTTTAGTTTAATTATACCTACAAACTTATAAACTTAAACTTAAACTTATACTCCTATTTCCAGGAGGAGACCAAATGTTGCGGCTGCATCACCTGCTCCAAGGAGACCCGCGACACCTTCGCCGAGATGATGAACTTCTCGCTGCTGAAGGACGTGATCTTCGTGATCTTCTCGGTGTCCAACTTCTGCACGAGCATCGGCTTCAACGTCCCCTACCTCTATGTGGCCGCCTACGCGGAGACCCTGAACATCAGCAAGACGGAGGCCAGCTACCTGATAGCCACCATCGGGGTGGCCAACACGGTGGGCCGCATAATCCTGGGCTACATATCGGACAAGCCGTGGGTCAACCGCCTGCTGGTCTACAACGTCTGCCTCACAGCCTGCGGAATTTGTAAGTCTGCCTATTTATTTATTAATTTTTTTAATTTATTTATTTATTTATTTATTTATTTATTTATTTATTTATTTATTTATTTATTTATTTATTTATTTATTTAATTATTTATTTATTTATTTATTTATTTACCTATTTACTTATTTACTTATTTATTAATTTATTTATTTTTTTTATTTATTTTTTTTATTTTTTTAGCCACTGCCATGGTGCCGCTGTGCCATGACTACCAGTCGCTGGCCTTCTACTGCATCGCCTTCGGCTTCACGATCGGCGCCTATGTGGGCCTGACCTCGGTCATCCTGGTGGACCTGCTGGGCCTGGACAAGCTGACCAATGCCTTCGGGCTGCTGCTGCTCTTCCAGGGCATCGCCAGCTTTATTGGACCGCCCATCGGAGGTGGGTGTAGATCGTAGATCTTTGTAAAGAATAAGAAATAATGATCTCTGCTTTATAGGTTGGATGTACGATCTGACGGACTCGTATGCGCCGGCCTTCCTGATGGCCGGACTCATGATCGCCATCAGCGGCGTCGTGATGTTCGCCATTCCCCCGCTGCAGCGACTTCAGGCCGGGAAATCGGAGCAGAAGCACCATGCCGAGCACCTAGCCCTAAGTTAGTCCACCTATCCTCCCATCCTTAGCCCTCCACGCCATCGTCCGCCCCCCTTATTTTTGTTTATAACCATTTCCAATTCTTTTTTTTTTGTTTTTTTTCTATTGTAACTATAGATCTAGAAATCTAGACATCTAGAAACTATAAACGCACGTCACTTGGTTAGGTTAAGACCTAGTTCTAGGCCAGACATGTATGTATGTGTGTATGCCACAGCTAGAGCATATCCGATTATTAATGTATAGGCAACTACCCCTGACCCCTGAACCCTTGAACCCTTGAACCCAACCCCAAACCTCCCAAAACAAATGTATAACCATACGTATATCCAACTGTACTAGGGAAATTATTGTTATTCTATTATGACTGTATGCCTGTGCGTGTGTCTGTCTGTGTATACGCCATTAAAGAAAGCTTTTGTACAACCACAAAAAACAAAAAAAAACTAGAGGTCTATTTGAAATCGATTAGCTGGAAAGCCACATATGGTCGCAAAAAATGGGATGCATTAAAAATAAAGGTAGGTAAAGGGAACATTACCAAATATCTCTAGATTTAATATATGGTAATTAATAATGGTAATCAATTTGTAAAGGTTTATCGTTTACAATACCAAATATCTCTGGATTTTTAGATTATAATAATCATTTTCTGGTGATTTAATAGATGGTAATTAATAATGGTAATCAATTTGTAAAGGATTATCGTTCACAATACCAAATATCTTTGAATTTTTAGATTATAATAATCAATTTTTGGAGGTTTAATAGAATAATGAATTTTTAAAGCTTAATCGTTTACAAATATCTCTAGATTTCTAGACTATAATAATCATTTTCTGGGGATTTAATAGAAAGAAATTAATAATTCTAATTAATTTGTAAAGGTTTATCGTTTCTTTCCCATCCGACAAGAGATTCCCAGATAATATAATGCCTGCCAAAATAATGTAAAGAAAATATCACTATTTAGAACTTTTGTATCGCGGCAATTTTCAACTTGTTGGTCAATCGCAGGCCGGCGATCTTCGTGGCTGGTTGGCCTTTCATATTTATTGTCTGGGCGACAGAGGCGTTCCTTAGAAGGGGTTCAATGAAAATACGGGCCAACATAAAGAGACATAGTTCGGTGTTTATTTGTTTTCTTCCTTAAGTGACTACGAATAAAATAGCAACAAAGGGCCCAGAGGTTTAACCCCGTGGCCCAAACAAAACCCATTCATTCACAACAAACACTCGCTCATTCACACGCGAATAAAAAAAAAAAACGCTTAAGTATTCACAAGTTCACTGAATCTCCCCGGTGATCAGCTTCTTCAGGGTGCACTCGCCGGCGCCCAGCTTGTGGAGGATGGCCAGGACCTCCTCGCGATACCGATCCATGTGGCCCATCTCCTCGGGGGTGTACTCCTCGCGGTCGAACCTCGTCATCCGCCAGATGACGTTCAGCTTGGCCTCGATGAGCACGTAGTTGGAGGAGGGACAGAAGCGCGGGCACATCTCGTTGATGAAGTGGATCATGTCCTGGACGCTGCACGAGTTGATCCGGTTGTTGATGGTGTTCAGGGCGAAGTCCTGGTACTTGGCCATCTTCGAGTGCGGAAACACGTTCTCGCAGGTGATGCACCGCCAGTCGGGCTGCAGGGTGCGAGTCTGGACGGGAATCACCAGGCTGCGGCAACCCTGTTCCCGGCAGAAGAGCGCCGACAGGTAGGTTCCGTTCTCCTGCAAGCAGATATGGGTTAAAGGATTAGTGGATCAGTGGGGGTCTGGGGTTCTGGGGATCAAGTGGATCAAAGATCTCTCCCTTTGGCGGGTTCAATGTCCGCCTCTGTCCATTCACGGCGTTCAGTTCATTCCACTTTGAATCGAAATCGAATTCGAAACCGAAACTGAAATCAAAATTAGCATTCGGTGTGTCATGCTCATGGAAGTTTCGGGGGGTGTGCGTTAAAATCCGATAAATGGGCATTAAATAAAGCTGATCTATGGATCAGCCAGTTCTTCAAATGGGGTAAACAAATGTATAGAGGAAATATATATGCCAAACATAAAATGTGCTATTTAAGGTTCGTTGCATGTAGGGTTGCCACCCTATAGTAAATCTTGAGAAGCTACAACTTTTGAACGAGAAAACCGGTTTCTTTGTTTTAAACATTAAAAATTGTAATATAAAGTTTCAATATTTCTATGGAAATATATCCTTTTTTAACATTTAAGAAATAAGGTTTTATAGCCCATGATTTTTTGTCTACTTCACTTTGCTAGCTCATAGCTCATATGTTTTCCAAAGCACAAGTAATTGAATTACAAAATCCATCAGGGAGCCCTAATAACCATTTTAAGGGCCAAAAGTGCGTGCCATATTTTTACCCCCCTTTTAGGCGGCGCCCCTGTGCCCCGGGCTGATGCAAATCATAGAACTAATTTAATTAGGGAACGCATTTGTGTCAGGTGGCCTGGCCAGCGGCCACTGCCAACGCCAGAGGCCATTATTCAACTTATCCCCGAGCGGCAGAAGAGCGGCCACATAAATAGCTGTGGCCGGATATGTGGATCGTACGTGCATATATAGATGGGTATATATCTGTAGACAACCCTACGCTCTAGAGAGCCCCGTTGACATCGACGTTGGCCAAGAAAATTTTGGTCGAAACTCAAGTGAAATGCTTTCATATTTCAATAATTGCTTTTTGTTTTCAGCCCGACAGATTGCGTTGCTCTCACGTTTGTTCTTTTGGTTTTGGTTTTAGTTTTGGTTCGACTTTGGAGTTGTGTATCTGGCGGATACACATGCTCGAGACTAAAAAAGAACTTGCGTTTCACGGGAAAAAGAAAAAAGTTATCCAATGAGAGATGGCTAAGTAAATATTAAATGGTTCATATTCGAAGACCTTGAATTTTAGGGAAAAAGATTACCAAAGATAAATCCTAATAATGTTGGGTTAAGTATTTTATTGTCAGAAGAACTAGACTAGAATGTGTAATTATATCCATTGAAAGCTTCTACTAAAAATGTTTATTTAGAATTTAGAATTCCCAACGTTTGGAACCCATTAAAGCTTTTGCTGAAAGTTATAAATTACTAGATTACAGGGCAATTGAGGTCAAAGTAAAGACATTAATAAATATCAATGAAGAAGTTAGTTTTGGAGATCGGAAGGGTCAAGAAGATCCAAGTAGATTATGTGATTTCAAGAGGAATAATAAAGAAATCTTGGATATCATGGAAATTTCCGAGTTTTGTGTTGGCTAACCCCCAAGAAGGATGAAGAAAGGATTGCTCCCCAAAGATAGCTCCATTCCTACTCACTGTATTGTCGTGGCACCGCGAGCAGTCGCAGGCAAAGTGCTTGGTCATCTTGAGGAAGATGTTGCGGGTGAGGTTGCCCCAGAGGATCTTGGTGTAGGTGGTGGTGATCTCGCCGCCCCTGGGAATGTCCCTGGCGGCCCGAACCACCGCCAGCCGGCCGTTCTCGAAGTAGTGGCTCGCATTGGGGGTGCACTCGTGGTTCATGATCGCCGTCAGCGGGAAGAGGCCCCGCAGCAGCGTCTCGTGGCCGCCGGAGCGGCAGGGAGCCTCGAAGGCGTTCGTGTTCAGCACGCCCACGATGCGGAACAGCTGGTCCATGAACTGGCGATCCGTGGTGGGGAAGTTCCTGAAGCACTGGGCCGCCTTGATGATCTCCCGTCGATAGGCCCGCTCCGCATTCGCCTGCATGGCGTCCACCAGATGCCTTTGCTCCTTGCCCAAATGGAAGACGCGCACGGCGGTGAGGATGCGCAGCGAGAGCGGATTGACCTGCTCCTGCTCGCCCTCGGCATCCGCGTCCTTGGGCTGCCAGCGGCGGAAGTGCTCGCACTCCGCCCGGTGCTCCTCCGAATCCGAGCAGGATTCACAAACGGGAAGGGTGCAGCGATGCCGGCACAGGAAGCCCGTCTGCGGCAGCGTCTCGTGGCAGCAGACGCAGCTGCTCAGCTGGCCCTTCCTGGCCGTCGGTCCCGTGACCAAAGCCCGCTCCTGGAAGATCAGCTCGCCGGCGGCAATGTCCCGGGTGGCAAACACCCCGCGACCCGCCACCTTCGAGGAGGATATGGTCCAGTTGGGCTGCTCCTGGCGCAGATCCCCCAAATGGGCGTCTATCAGCTCGGCCAGCTGCTCGGGCGTCGTGTTGCGACAGGGCGCCATGTGGGCCCCCAGGGCGGCCAGGGTGGTGTCCCCCGCTCGGGGGGATTGGGTGAGAGCGGACATGGCTAGGACGGCGGCGGACGATTGACGGACGGAACTGCGGCGAACCAACGCGTCGCGCGGCAACTCGGCGAGTGAAGATGTCTCCGCGCAGCCGAGCGGTCTATGCGGGAATGGGAATAGCAGCGATATGGCGACAGCGACGACAGCAGCAACATGAGCAGCAGCAGCAGCAGCAACAGCAGCAGCAGCAACACCCAGTACAACAGCAACACCCAGCACAACAGCAACAACTGACTGCCGACTGCTGACAGTGGAACCAAGCCACCAAAGCAGCGACGCTTATGACGTGGACACGCCGACGCCCTCGAAGAGCATTAGACACAACTAAAAAAACACAAATTAGAGGCATCCAACGGGGGGAAATCGGGGGGAGGCAGAAGGGGAGAAAGGGGCTGGGCAGGGGGACGACAACAACAACAACAGCGACAGCGACAAGAGTCAAATATGATTTTTCCAAGGCACACGCACACTGAAAACACACACTCGCCGCCAAGTTCCCACATACGAAAACAAAAATTACATTTCTTTCAAGGCGAAATTTTTAAATACATAAAAAAAAAGGGTTTTTGGATTTATACACTGTTTTATAACAGATAAGGGACCATTCTTTTGATCTCTATAGCTATTAAAAATATTAAAAAAAATCATTTTTATGGAAATTTTACTATTTTTTGTGAATTTTGGCAAAAAATAGCAAAAAATGAAAAGTTCTAGGTTGAAATCAATTAAAAATTTACTTACGAGTTCAACAAGGCACAGTATTTCACATGTATACCATTATTTCCATTCATTTGACCAAAATACTGATTTATTTTGGTGAAAATTAGATTCTGGTTTTTTGGTAAAAATTCAATTGAGCAATATTGAAACGATTTCGAAATCGGGAACTTGGAGCTACTTGGTGCGCCACTGGGAAATAGAGACATTTGGCTGGGACGACGCAAAGCGGATTTTGCTTTTGACTCTTATTCAATTTGTGCTTGAGCTGTTGTTGTTTTGTGGTTGCTATTGTTGCATTCAATTGGATTCGCCAAAGGGGGTGGCTAAGGGGGGTGGCAGTGGGCCGAGGGGTTGGGACAACGAAGAAAAGAGCATTGATGCAGCCATCAGCCATCAAAGAACATTTCCCGCTGTCAATTTGTTCGCCAAACACCTCAGCGTGGCAGCTCCTCCTCCTCCATCTGCGGTTGGTTATGGATGCCATAAAGTGAAGCGAAGCCATAGGAGCACCACCCACCACCCACCTCCCATCAGCCCCACAACCCATCCCCAAACGATTTCTGCCGGCGCCACCCTACACGGCAATCTGAGCAGCTGGAAAAATTATTTGCGGAGATGCAGCGCCACTGATACGAGGCGTGTTTGTCTCCCACGCTGCTACACTGGGCAAAAATATTTATTTCAATTTAAAATGTTTCCTAAAATTATACAGTTTACCACTGGGATACACAATTTTTAATTTCAGGAACTTTTAAGATTGTGTAAAAAATTGTAAAATCGTAATGTTCTTAGTTTGATAATCCCTTTTTAAACCCACATTATTTTAATACTTTAAGGGCCTAAATATATTTGCATTTCTCCAAAAAATTATTTTATTCCGGAATTGGCATTTAGTGTAGCCCACTTCCCATGGCTTCCACTACAAATGGCAGTGCGTGTGGCCAGGACATAAATTAAGACATCGCCGGCCAAGGAGTTGCGTGTTTCAGGGAAAAATGGAACGCAGAAAACGAGGTGAGCGCCGTGATACGTGGCCAGGTGGGAATGGCTCCACTCCTCACCTGTGCACCTTCCGTCGCGAATGTCACGCATTGTCACATATCTCCTTCTGCCACGCCCCTTTCTCTGCGCACATACGTAAATCAGCTGTAAACTTTTATGGTACACCGTTTGCCTACATTCCAAGTCTATTTTCACTTTTTACGCCCGTTTTATTGGTCCAATCGAACGGAAGGCAAGTGTTCGTTCCACACTTGAATGCCAAATATCAAAAGGAGTGGAAAACAAACTGACAGAATAAAATCATTATTTCTATTGCTTTGGCCAAAACTTTTCTTTATTTCTGCCAAAAATTCTGTTTGTTTCCTACACGAAAAAGACTTAGGCTCAGATGACACATTCAATTTTTAACGTCAATTTATTGTAGCAATTTTTCTTAATGGGACTTCAAACGCTTTCCGTGTGATTTTCGAAAAATAAAATTTTCGTCAATTTTTATTTTTTTTATAAGGGGGTACCCCATGATTTTTTGGGAAAAATTAAAAACGAATAAAATGTCTAGGTTTAAATGCCAATCGAAAGGAAATTTAATAACGCGTTCAAAAAGGTATGACAATCCATACTTTGAATCAGTAGTTTTTTTGTTTTAGCGAAAAAACTACCTTGTTTTTTTTTGCAAAATTCGAGATTTCAGTTTTTGACAAAAATTGGAATTTTTTTCTTTCGGTTTTTTTGGTGTAACTTGGCCAAAAAT